CCGTGGCAGACTCTGGAGACTCATGTTGAATCCATCGCCCCGCAGCCGAACCTCACTGGAAGGGAAATGGCTGCGAGCATGCTGCTGGGTTGGCGTGAGCCCAACAATGCACCCTTGGCGGGAGTCATCACGAGGCCTTGTTGAAAAAAAAAACGCGAGTTGCACTGCATTGCCTGCGCAGCCTCTTCAGAGATGCCGCCCCCATGTGTAGCGCCCCATGGATTGCATGCCATGTGATGCATCACGTATTGCACCACGTATATTGTACAGCATGGTTTGGACACATTGCGCAAGAAAGTTAGATTCCAGAGCGGCGTTGGCAGTCATAGTGTTACTCCACAGCGCGTCCCGCCATATCGTTGCGAGCACAACGTTCGCGCGTATCAAGCATCCAACATGCGTTTGATCACTCAGTCCATGCTGCGCTCCCACGACGAGATGCCGTATGATGCGCAGCACATGTTGGCGTGTTCTCCGCCAATTGGATCCCCGAGGCGACCATCTCGCTTCAGCTCACAGGATTGGGTGGCAAAACGTGCGCCAGTCATGCCAAGCATTTTGCGAGTCAGCGGTTGAGACAAGGTCCCGATCCGAACGCGTCTCCCAGGACCATTGATGAGGATGGAACCTGCTCTGGGGTGCATTTCGAAAGCAGCTTTTTGTGGTTGGCCTTTCTTGCCCTCCCTCCAGCTTTCTACGAGACGGGGGCCATGTGACCCTCGTTCCCTCTACCTCCATCCACCCTCGACATCGGGGACGAGAAGCACGATCATGTTGACGATGACGGGGAGGAGAATTTCCCTGGGTCTCACCCACGGAAAAATTCGTCTGGGAACCAGAGGGGGGGATGCAAGGTTGAGGAGTGAGGAAGAGTAAAGGGCAGGGAGGAGGGAGGGTGAGGGACGAGGAGCAGGACAGGTGGTCAGGAGGAGAAGAGGAGGAGGAGGAGGACGAAGAGGAGGAGGAGGAGGAGAAGGAGGAGGAGGAGAGTAGGGATGGGATGGGGGGGTGGAAAGAGAGCAGGTCAGAGGAAGAAGGAGTGGACCGAGGAAGAGGGAGCTGAAGGGCGGAGCACGATAACGAGTACAGCGTCACAGGTCTCCCGAACGATGGGGAGGCGGGTTCACGATCTCCGCGGCCCTGTCCCAATGTCATTGCCTTCGTAGATCCACAAAACATCCGATGTCTTGATGTTTTTGTTCGCCACGCCTTCGGTCCCCAAGGGCCCTCGCCGGGCCTCGGGACGGCCAGAAGGTGATCGTTTTCTTATTCATTGTTTTGTCGATCTGCGCGGGCCTTCGCACCCTCCGTCCCCCCCTCCCCCGTGGAGTAGATCTTGGCTGTTTTTGGCGTCTGTTTCGACCAGGTGGAGTCTCCCCCGTAGGACGCACTGTTGCAAACAGTCGCATTAAGCAGAGGTCCAGAGCCAGACCCCCCCCCTGCCTCTCCTCCCCTCCGCCCAACGTCGAAACGCCGAATAAGAAAACGTTAACAAGCGTCTCGCGACGAAAAGCCGTCATTATGCGAACGGGTCAGGTTTTTCTTGGGGGGACGCCTTGGCGAGAAGACATCAAGACACCGGACGTCTGCGGGCCGTCGGGGGTGGATGGCTTCCGCCGCCTTGCCCCGTGGAACCTTCCCTGCGGCACTGTCACCCTCGTTGTAAGTCGGGCGTGTCCCTATACAAGAGGTTTATGCAAGAATAGAAAGAAATAGTCTGATGACGATGTTTCGAGTATAGGTTGACTATGTTCTACGATTCTTCGAAAATCCACCTGTAGGCGGACATGCCCGTCCTATCCCTTGTTATTGGCCATCTCCCTGGATTCTCATACAGATCAAACCGCATCATAAGGATGCGGAACGTTTCGAGAGTACACGCAGGTCGTTGAAAGTAGGTATTTCTGGACTCCCAGATCCCAATCCACTTCACGCGCCTTCCTACTTGAGGTGCCGAGCGGCTTTCCCTCTTGCCTCTTCTTCAGGGGGCGGGCGGACACCCTATCTACTTCCACCGCCCTCCCGCTTCGTGCTTCTGCCCACCCCAGCGTCGGCTTCCGCCTGGGCGTCCACGGGCCCCGCATCCTTTCCGCACATCCGTGTGATCCGGGCGCACGGCGCCTCCGCCCGCAGTCGCCGTGCCGAGACTCTGGCCGGACGCTGTGCGCGGGGAACTCCCCGCGCTCGGCGGGCCGAGATGCTCGGAGGTTGCTTCCCTCGGGGCCAAAGCAGGGGTCGACCCCCCCCTTTTGACCTCGCGCGCCCCTCGCGCAGGGCGACGAGGGAGAGAGAGGGAGAGGAGGAGAAGAGCGAGGCCAAGGGGGAAGCGACGACCAGCCCAGAGCGCAGAAACGACAGAAAGCGGGAGGACTGATGGGCCCCCCCCTGGCAAGTCTCAGGAGGGAGGGAAAAAACACACTAGCACAATGAATCGTCGATCCCAAGGAAAATATGGGAAAATGTGGGAAGCGGGAGTGGGGAGGCGAAAGCCCAGAAAATATGGAAAAGTATGGAGAATCTTGGGACCTGTATTCTTTATGTGTGTTTTCCCCTTGCCCCCATTGAAGAAGTCAATGCTCGAGTCTCCTTGTCTCGCTTCTGCTGGGGAGGGTGCTGTGGCCGCACGTCGCGCGGGTCTGCGCCCGTGGGGTCTGGGGCCCAGTCGTCCCCGCGAGGAGGGGGTCGTCTCGTGGGAGAGGGGGCCCGGGCCCGCCCCCGCGCTTCACCACCCGCCAAACCACCCCAACCCAACCCGAAGGCCTCAATTTGCCCTCCCTTTCCAGTTGGGGGGGTCGGCGAACACTGAAGAACCGCATATGGAACCCGTGCCCCCCCCCCAACCCGAAATTAGGGTCTTCGGGTTGGGTTGGGGTGGTCTGGTAGGTAGTCAGCGCTGTGGCCGCAGGAACGAAGCGCTGGCGGCTGGCCATGATGGAGCCGCGCACGGCACCGTACCTGGCGATGGTGTACCACGACGGCGCGGTCTACGAGCGCCCCGCCAAGTGGGAGCCGCTCCTCCAGGGGGGAGGAGGGGGAGGGAGCGAGGGAGGGAGGGCCAGGTGGTGGGCCAGCGGGTGGACGGCCTCCTCCTCCTCCTCCTCCTCCTTCTCCTCCTCCTCGTCCATCGCCAGTTGCTGCAAGGTGGGGACCCCTTTCCATCAGTTTAGAAGCTGGCAATCTTCAGGGCGGTCTTGTCTGCGGCTGACCCGGCGCGGCAATGCACCAACCCCAAGGGCCGGCCGAACACATGCTCGGGAGCAAGTGGTTCAGAAAATCCGCAGCGACAGTGGCAGCGCAGGGAGGAGGGAGGAGACATGTCGGGGGAGGACGATGGCGGCGAGGAGGAGGAGGAGGAAGAGGAGGAGGAGGAGAGAAGTCGTGGGTGTGAAGGGGTGCGTGGGCGAGGAGGAGGAGGAGGAGGAGGAGGAAGGGACTAAGGAGAAAGAGAAAGAGGAAAGTGAAGGAGAAGGGGAGGAGGTCCCCCGCCAAGTGCGTTACATCAAGATCCGAGAAGCAGTGCACCATGTTAGGTCATCCGTTCAAGCCAAGTCTGCTCAACTTCGAACTGTGCGACATTCGTTGCGGCGCGGGAGCAGAACCAGGGATGAGTCGCCGTAGATGGTGGGAGGAACCGCACTTCAGCATCGTGTTGAAGCAAGGAGAGGCACTGTTCTTCCCCCCGGGCTTCATTCACGAGACGGTGAACGTGAACGAGTCGAGGGGCAGCTGTGCAGCATCGGCGACACCACCCCTTTTTCGCCGTCGCGAGCTAAGGTATCGTCGATGCTCCCGTGGGGCTCGTGTGGTGGTGTAATATTTGCTTCTTATGGGAAACATCCTGAGGAGGCTTGTCCAAGGGGGGTTGTCCGGAGGGGTTGTCGGGACCCCCGTTTGATTGTCCAAGGGGTTGTCATGGGTAGGTCGTCTTGCCGTCATGACCAAGCACGGGATATCCAGGTTGTCTGAGGGGCTGTTTGGGGATATGTGTTGATGGGATGATCTTTCCATCGAACATAGTCGTTGGTTGCGTGTCTAGTCCAGGGAGACATTGTCAGAATGAACTCGCCATGGGGTTCCGATCTCTCTTCGGGACCGCAGTGCACTCCAGGTGTCACCAGCCTCTGGCCTCCGTCAACCCCTCCCTCTCGTCCCATCCTTCCCATCTCCCCTTACCCATGCCCTTTTCCTGCTACAAGAATCTTCATGGCAATGCCGATGCTCGTTGCCAGGCCAGTGAGAAGGAACCAGTGGACCGTATATGATGTGCAGGCAGCGTTACGCTTAGATTTGCAGCGTTGCAGTGGCTCAGTACCAACTTGTTATGTGATTGGCCATCCCCCCAGCCAAGTCAGGCCGCCGCAGTCGACCCAGCGTTTTCCCTGAGTTCGGTCGATGAAGTAAAAGGGGCACCAGTGCTGAACCGTCGGGGTCATGATCAACCCTTGCGAGATTGATTCAAAGTTCCAGCGCCATCGCAAGAACCCGTCCATTGCGAGACCTGCTAGAATGATGCAAGCAGCCGCACACATCGATATGTGATACATCGATGCGTGACAACGTCATCACCACAAGTATAACAACGCGTATCCACTGGCACGCACATGACAATCAGGTTAGGACCATGTAGGGTCATCCACTCAACCGTAGCAGTGGCGTCACGTGAGCTGCATCAGCGCGTTACGGGTAGTCATCCACCTGGGTGAGACCCGCAACCACGACGAATTCAGCAGTATCGTTGATGATAAGCTTTTGCTGTGTCGGAAGGAAAGTAGTCACAGAGTAGATACCACAGTGCGAGGCCAACCACACATTCTAAATCCAGAAGGATTGCCACGATTAATCGTACACCTGGTTTTGATACTTGCGTGGCCGTCTTTGTGGTGTTTAGATATGGCGTCAATGGTAATTGGCCAATTCGGCGGTGACTTCACCACCGGACAGCGCACTCGCATCCGAGCCGCTGCGACGCGAAATTATGATAGCTCAGGCAACATCAGAGTGAGGGGGCCGAACGGTCATTCATTGTCCCTGCGGGCGTGGCTGAATAAGGAATTCGTAGTGAAAGTTCTGCTTGTTGCGTTGTTGTTGCTGTTGTTGTTTGTTGTCGTCGTCCCACCCGCGACCCACCCGAGACCCACCTCGCGACCCACCCGCGACCAACCCCGCGACCCCCCCGCGACCCACCCATCCGCGACCCATCCGCGACCCACCCGCGACCCACCCCGCGACCCACCCCGCGACCCACCCCGCGACCCACCTACACAATGGTTAAACGAAAAAATTAGGCGCCTGCGGCGGGCTCGTTGTATAATTTGAACGTTTGACGCTGCGGCGGGCTTCTCCAGAGTCTCGCAAACTGCCGACGCCCCCACCGCTCCCTCACTCTTATCCGCATCTGCGGGGTGCTACGTATCCAAGCGATTATCCTCGGATTGAACATTGATGCGAAGACCCTTGCGCCGACTCAGTGTTGCTCCCTGCCTTTGGGAAACGCTGGTGTCGTGAAATTGCCAGCGAAAGTGCGCCCACGCTGGTGTTCATCGCGTTCCCCCAGAGCCGTCTGGGAAACCACTAGAGGAGCCTGGGACTTCGTTCCAAGAGTTGTAGCAGTGCGATTCCGACAAGACTCGGCATCGCAACACAGGTTGAACGGAAACAGAGGTTGTTGTTCCTGATTCCGATTGGGGAGGATCCATGAGGAACCCTGAGGAGTGTTGAGGAGTTTGGCGAACCTTGAGGAACGCTGAGGAATCCTGAGGAGTCCTGGAATCATGAGGCACCCTGAGCTACCCCAAGGAGTCCTGAGCAGTCCTGAGGAGCCCTGCGCAGCATCCCGCACCGTTCGACCTGCACCCGCGCTCGAGAAGCCCTCGGGAACCCCTTGCGAAGCCCTGAGAGATCAGTGGGAAAGGTATCCTCGGGACTCGTTGGGGAGTCCTGAGAAATCCCCAGGATTGTTGCGGACTCTCGAGGAGTCTTCAGGAATCCCGACGAGTCCTGAGCTAGCCTGAGGACTCCTGAAGAGTCCTGAGGAGCCTTGATGAAGCCCGCGGAGCCCTGAGGAATATTTAGGAGATGTATCCTGAGGACTCCTGAGAGGAGGTCTGGGGACTTCCGCGGAATCCAAAGAAATCACGAGGAGTTCTGAGGAATCCTGACGAGTCCTGAGCTACCCTGATGAGCTTTCAGGAGTCCTGAGGAGTCCTGAAGTATTCTGGGGACTCTTTAGGAATCCTGTGGACTCCTGAGGAACCCGAGGAATCTTGAGGACTCCTGAGGAATCATTAGCAATCCTACGAAACCATTGGGCTGAGGATTTTTGAGGAGTCCTTGGGGCTCGTGGGTCTTGCGGAATGTGTATAACCCCCGAACCAGGAATTGCAGCTTGGAGCTGGATGCCAAGAACTCGGGGCCCGTCAGAAACGTGAACACGGAAATCCGAAAACCGAGCCCCCAAGCCCAAATCATTCCAAAACGCGAGAACCAAAGCCCGAACATGTATCCCCAAAAGCCGAGACCCGAAACAATCCGAAACCCAGACAGCAACAGCCTAGCAATATCGAAAACCGATGCGGCAAACCCACACCCGAAAATTGAAACCCGAAGCCCAGACCCGAAAACCGAAGCCCGAATGCCCCAACACCCAAACTCGAAACATTCAGAATATGGATCCAGAAACGGGCATTGAAAAATTAAGCTCGACGACCGACATCCCAAAGCCATGCACTTGACACCTGGAGCCCGAAAACCGAAACCCGAAGCCGAGACACCGAAATCGAACCCGAAACCCAGAACCCAAACAATCCCGAAATGAGTAAGATTCGGTTTCAAAGCCGAACACAGAAACTCCGAAGCCCGAAACCCCAAAGCCCGACCCGTAACCCAAAGTTGAAGCCATAGCCCGAGAGCCAAAACACAGAATCCGAAATTTCAAACCCAAGCCCAACCGAGTCTGAATGAATTTATTGTTGATTCCATGATCGTTTTGCGCATCCCTGGAAATATGTTCTAAGTGATTCCGTTGGTGATCCCAACATAGTTGCTCGCATCATTGGGAATCGATTCCAAATGATTCAATTAGTGATGCCTGGTTCGCGTTTCGCATATTTGGGAACCGATTCCCACTTATTCGTTGGTGATCCCAGGATCGTTTGTCGCATACCGCGGAGCCGATTCCAAGAGATGTTCTTGGTGATCCAAGGATCGTCTGTCCCATGCATTGGAGCCGATTCCAAGCGATTCCATTGGTGATCCCAGAATAGCTTGTCGCATCCTTTGGGGCCGATTCCAAGTGATCCCGATGGTGATCCCAGTACGTATCGTCTTTCCGGACCTTGATTCGTTCCGATCATTTGTAATCGTGATCTTTGGATCGATCGTCTTCGTATACATAGTAAAAACAATTGAACACGGCACCACGTGATTGTCTTTGCATTTTTAAGCTAAGTTTCGCAAAACCTTACACCCCATGACCGTGGTATGATTACTTGCATGCAAAGCTAAGGAGTGTAAGGCCTTACGTCACTCAGTTGTTATCATGCGTGTTCTACCTTAAGCTAAAGAGGGCAGTGTGTTACACCTCTTGATTTGTTTTTCTGCTTGATTCATGTAGAGTTCAATGTCGCAAATCATTACCTTAGTGAACCATTGATTGCAAATGCAGCTAAACAGTGTCAAGTCGTACACAACTCGACGTGGCCAAATGTGCAGTGCATAAAGGTGAAGAGCGTCAAGCCTTGCATCAAGTATCGTTCGGTCAGTCGCTGTAGAGTGTAAATAATTGTCCATGTAGTGCGCCAGTACTCCTTCGTGCAAGAGATATTGAAGTTGCAGTAGTGTAAACACTGAGCGTCTGTTGTCGTTGCACACCGACAGCTAAAAAACACCGCAAGTCTTATGCCACGTGTGATTCGAATACGTTTACCATTTCAAGCTGCAGAGCGGCAGGCCTTACACAACTCAATTGCTCTGCCCTTTGAGTCTAAAGCAAGAGCAACAAGCCTTAACACCACCTGATGTTCCATGACTCGCTTCATGTAACAGTTTAATTCTTCGCATACAAAGCTAATAGTATAGAGCATTGCGCTACTGAGCATTCACGAGTACATTACTTCAAGGCGTTGATAGGTTTTCCACGGGTCGGGCAGATCGGGTCGAAGACCACCCAAAGGCCAATAAGCATTTGATAATGCGGCACGCCAAGTGCTCCTCCGACCCGCCACGGGGGCAGCGGATCGAAGGCGTCTCCTGCGAGTCACCGCCGCCCCCTGCTTCCTTGGAAACGCTTGTGTGCGTGGGGGAGGGGGGCGCGAGCGCGCCGATCATCCCCCGTCACGCAACCTCGGCCCTTCCCTGCTCCTGTCTTCTAGCTTGCGCCCTCCCAAGATATCCTCCGTCGCGATCCGTTCATGATGTCATGACGCTGTTCTCCAGAGGTCTTGGCCCCTTCCCCAGCACTGGCCTCTCATCCTGAGCCGCCGTGCGGCGGTCCGCGGCCCCGGCGAAGGCCCCCGGAGAGGCCAGCAGTGTGCAAAAACGCCTTCCCCGCCGTGATAGGTGCGAGAGGGCCGCGGCCTCCTCTGGCCGACGCAGACCCCGGCCTCCTGCGCTGGGTGTGCCCATGGGGCCCCGGTCCTCCACCCTCGGGTCGGGCGAAAGGGGGGGATTGGGAAAGGGGGGGTTACGAAATGTGCTGCATGCAGCTGGTTTCGGCCTCACCGAGGGGCCCATTCCTCCATACATAGCCGCCTCCGGCGCCGGGAGGCGCCGGGAAAATCAGCTACGTGAGCTGATTCTCAAACCCCCCCTTTGTTATCCCCCCCTTTCGCCCGACCCGAGTCAAGACGCCAGGACTGACCAGCCTCGAGCTCGTCCCCGTCCCTGAGGCTGACGGGCCCAGAGGCGACGACAGTCTCGGGGGGGCGCCCTCGAGAGCTGAGGGAATCCTTGAGAGCGACATCGAGCTGAGGCGATGTCGAACATACGGACAGGGATATGTTTATCAACCGGTAGAAGCGGGGTCTACTTGGGGCTCACGAGGGGCTCTGGGTTCTGGGGGCGGCCCTTGGATCTGGGCCGGGGGACCGGTTCGTGGTCGAGGCGCGCGTCGAGGCCCATGCCAAGAAACACCTTGCTTGCCTCCAGGGGCCCCTGGTTTTCGTGAGCTTCCAGGCTTCTGCTGTGGAAAGCGCGACGTTCACATAGCAAGAGTCAATGGACGTCCTGGGCTCTCAGGGTTGGGCTTCTCGTGGAAGGTTTCTTGTGGTCAGGCCCCCTACTGTGCCCCCTTCCTTCCCTGTTCGGCGTTCCTTCTGGCAGCACGACTGCCGCAGACTGGAAGGCCCTCGGCTTTAACTCAGGAGCCACGCGCCCCAGTCCAGAGGCTCTGGCCAGCCTGCTGGGGCGGCCTTCAGCTCTTGATTGGTCTCGCTCCCCCTCGGCTGACCTCTCGAACACGTGAGCGACGCAAAAAAAAACGGGCTTGCTTGCGCCGACGTTCGCGTGCAAGTTCCCCGCGTAAGGTCGCGCGCAAGCGCCCTCGTCTCCAGTGTGGCTTGCCGCGCTGGTGGCCCGCGTGAGCCACCGCGTAGGGTCGCTGCGACATTTCGCGTGAGACCGGTTCGTCGCTCAGGTGACTTTCCAGTTCATGCTGCCGATGGCGGCGCGCATGTACCGCCGCTTCCTGCCGCGGGTGCGGAGGACCGCGGACATCCACGAGGCCTGGCCGTTCATAGGACGCCAGCCTGTTTCTTTTTGAGCTCCCTCCCGGGCCCGCCAGGAGGAGGAAGGATTTCGCGGTACGGCTGTTTGTTTGTTTGATTATTGGGCGTTGCTTGTTTCGGATGCAACTCCTGGGCGGGGATAGTCTGACTTTCCCCTGGTTTGAAATCGGGCTGGATCCGGATGAATCCCGCTCAATCTGGCTTGATCCCTTTCGATCCGCGGCCTAATCGGCGTAGCAGCCCCCCAAGGGGGCTTATTCCTCATCCTTTCGACGAAGACCTCCCAGTAGTTGCCTCCTGAGCTCATGAATGATCTTGCGGTTTCGACAACGAGCGAGGGTCGCTCCAGTGGAGGGCAGTTCTGGGACGACCTGCCATGTGTCGGGGGTGGACAGAACCCCCACCCTGACACGTCGATTAGTGGATTGTCCGTTGTCGGTTCTCGAGAAAGCGCCGCGGCCGTCATTTTCCAGGCTTGCGCCCGCCAGGTTTGGGCCCGAGGTCGTTTTCACTAAACCACGTTTTCTAAAGGGCGTTCTGTCCATCCCCGATTGTGGCGATGGGAAGGCGTCCAGCCATGGGACCGCACTCGCCACATTGTTGTTCGGTTGAACGCCCCTGAGGGGGCAGACACCGCCGCCCCACCTGTTCGGGATTGTGCCAAACTGTTGTCCAGTCGCTTCGCTCATTCCGCTGGCCAATCTTGTGGCATCGCTGGCACTGGCCGGCATGCTCGTGGGGCCTCTTGGGCCATCTGGGGGGGGGGTGAGGGCCATGGGGGCCTCTGGCGGGCCTTCTGGCAGTCTCGGAGGCCACCCATGGTTGTGGAAGTCGATAAATGAAGAGGAAGCATGCTGCCAAATAATTTCCAGATGGCAAAAGATGTTCCAACATGTTTAAATTATGTTATAAACATGTTTGAACCATGTTTAATAACATGGCTTACACATCTTAAGCACATATTTAATTCAAGGATAGGACTGTTAGAGTGTCCATTGTCATGGCAACCACAAACCCATGGGACCGCACCTGCCAAACCTGCACCATCATTCAGTCGGGCTGCCCGCGAGCGTACAGCAGGCCGAGCTCGCTCCCATCATCGCGCGTCGAGATCCGCGCAGTGCCAGCACGCGGCGGGAGCACGCGCAGGACCTCTGGGAAGCAAGGTCGCCCACCTCGCCCCTGGACGAGTACGTCATCCGGCCTCGTATGCAGCGAGACCGGCCGGGGGGTCTCTCTCTCTCCGCCCTTCTCTCTTCCGCCGGCCGGCTTCGCCCCCTTACACGGCTCGCCGCTTCCAGCCTCGCGGGTAGCGAGGCCGTCCAGGCCCGTCTCTCTCTCTCTCTCTCTCTCTGTCCCTCCAGGAGTCTGCTTTTCATCCTCTGGCGCGTAGCGGTCGTTACCCGTGGGCCCCCCAAAAAATGTTGGCGTTTGCGTGTCAGGGCATCTTCTTTTGCGGAGTTGGGCGCCCTGGCGCGGACGGCCGAACGACCCTTGCAGCGGGACGCCCTGGCCACGCGGTCGCCGCCACAAAGGCTGCCCGTTCAAGGCTGCCCCAAACCCCACCTACCCCCGGGGTGTACCGGTAGCGATCGTACGTTGGGGGGGGGGCCTGCCAGCGCTCGCGGGGGCGCCCCGCAGGTGCTCGCAGGCGCCCTGCCAGTGCACCGCCCCGCGCAGGCGTTACCGTTTTCTGGGACCCAAACCCCGTTGGTCCTGGGTAGCGACTGTCACGCAGAATACATGTTGTATATATATATATATACAACATCTGTATATATATATATATATATATATATATATATATATATATACAGATATCTCACCAAAGAAACAAACGAATGAAAACCTTCTCCAACGAGGGATTCGGCGACTCCACTTCCCGACGGCGACGGTGTGCAGCTCTGACGAGACCAAACACCAGGCACCCAGGGCCAAGCTCGGGGAGCGCATCCCCGAGCTCGCCACTCCTCGTCTGAGCGGCCTGGCCTGGGGGCGGCCCTGGCAGACCATCCCCCTCCCTAAGGTCCCCTTCGCCTCGCCCCTGGACTCACGTGTGCGGCCTGGAGGGGAGCTCGCAGGGCGAGGATGGCACCACGCAAGGGGATGGTTGGTTTGCTACATGGAAGTTGGCAAAAGTGGCCCGGGCCAGCCTTCCCACGTTTTCTTCGAGCCCTGGGCAGTTTCCTTTTATGTTTTTGTCCAGCCCTGGCGACCGCATCCCTACTGTTTCAGGCTCGTTGCACCAACTGCCAGTTTTTTCCAGCCCTGGCCACTTCCACTTTCATTTAGTTTTCAATTCTCGTTTTTTCCAGCTTCCTTGCGGGGGTCGCTTGGGTAGCGCCCGAAGGCGGGGAACTCGTGCACTCGTGCACTGGCGTAAGCGAGGTCTGTTTGGAGCTGGCCTGGGGTCCAGGGTGGCCCAGCATTGGGTCTGGCCAGCAGGAGGGGGGGGGGTCGAGGTTTGGAGTTCGGAACAGCATTCGCCTCTGAGCATCTGGCAACATCTGAGCACCTGCCTGGGAAACTCCGCCGGGACCCTGGCGACTCGCAGAAGGCATCGACGTCGGACGAAACTCGGGCGCCGGGGGGGCGAGGAAGCGCGCGCGCGCGCCGGTCTCGCCTCCGCCAGCCGACCGTCCGAGGCGGGGCTGCACCCACGCCCGCCACCACCCCTTGCGGCATCGTCCCTCGGAGGCCTCCGCAGCCTCTGCCTGCGGACACGCTCGGGCCCTGCGGGTGGGGGCCGAGCATGTCCCCACCCACCGCCTGCCGAGGTCCCGCCCCCGTCTCGCGGGCCCGCAGGCCGGGAGCGCTGCACACGGCGCGCCCGGCGGGCCCCGAGCGGGCTCGGGCCGCCCTCGGCATCCCCCCACCACCACCCAATGTGCGTCACACGGACATGCTGACACTGTGTGTGTGCGTCGCAGACCCAGGGGCGGGCGGCGCGCGCACCGAGAACTCCACTAGCGTAATTAAGCTCCGCGGCGGGCGCCTGCTGGCCGTGCCTCTCGGGAAACGGTACTCTACAAGATGGTTGCACAGAATGGTCGGGTCGGACGCACGCCTCCCAGGAGGACACACAGTACGAGTAGGTCATTCCACGCGTGGCATTTGACCTTCGGCAGAGCTCGATCCGCCCGATACGGCTACGGCAAGAAGGGGGACGAAGTCCGACAGCAGCTCTCTGGGCCTCCCAGATGGAGTCGGAGCAGATGCGGCGCGACCTGGGGTACGATATTCTCCACGCCGACGGTGCCGATGCATCGGCGATGCGGCGCGATCCTCCGACCCCACCTACTCGGATCCCTGTTGGGAGGCCTCCAAAGAGTGGGGCAGGAGTCCGACAGCAGTTCCTGCCCGCTTTGACGAAGAATCGTTGCCGGAGCCGCCGCTGACGAGGAACGAAGACAGAGCGAGAGAAAACACGAAGGAGACGGAAAACACGGCCTGGCTCGCGCCCTGGTCGAAACCAGGGACGCCGAACACGCCCACCAGGAGCTACCTCCAAAACGGTCTCGTGGCCGCTCCTCGACGACTGCCCCCCCCCCCTGCCTCCCGCCGCGCCCCCCCCCCCGCCCGGCCCCCGACGGGCCGGGCCGGCCCCGCCGAGCGCCCGCGCGGCCTCGCCCCGGCAGGGGCGGGGAGCAAAGCGACGCGGCTCGCAGCGCAGTGGGCCGGGCTGGGCAAGCCAGGCCCGCGCGGGGGGGGGGCCCGAGATGCGGGCGGCGAAGTGTTTGGTTCGCGCCGCGGGCGTCTGCACTCGATGGCGGGCCCCGGAGCACTCACATGATTAGGGGGCCACATGCGAACATTTCTGAGGGGGAGGGGGGGGTTCACTTCGTTCGGGAGCTCCCGAGCGAAGTGAACCCCACCCTCCCCCTCAGAAATCGTGGGGGGTAGGGGTAAGGTTCGCATGTGGCCCCCTAATGATTATCGAACTGGCTCGGCAGATGACGCAGACGGATGGGGTCCGGGGGTCTGGTCGTGATTTTTTCTGCGGCGCTGCCATCTTTTTGGGGCAGCGCCGGATATATCAGGGGGGAGGCTTGAATAAGGAACACTTGCGTTTCAAAAGGGGCTCGGTCGTTCCTCAGGCTCGAATGCGTTACTTCGTCGTTTCCTGCTGCGTCATCTGTTCTCTCTCGTGACTCCTGCGTTATTCCCTGGAAGATGAAAAGGGGCCACGTTCCTTATAGATCGTGCCTTAGGTCAGGCCGATGACTGTATCATCGGGGGAGCGTAAGACCCGGTTTTGCCAGGACTCGGGTTCGCCATCGTTTTTTGACGACCGCGATTCGGATTTTGACGAGGAGGAGTTTTGTGGGATGTCTGCAGCGGGAGGCCTCGTCAAAATGCAGGCTCGGCCTCGTTATTTTTGTTGACGACCTCGTCAGGGATTTCCGAGTCCCCCGTACCCGGGTCTTACGTCTCCCCGATATCAGGGGGGAGGGGGGGGGGTGGCGGGGCCCAGAGATCTGAGACGCCCCGTCGCAGATGGGAGCGGCGGGAGTCGGGCCATATGTTCGGCCTCCGGAGGCCCTCGCTGGGCCCGCGGGGCCGTCAGGAAGAGAGCGGCTCGGGGCGAGAGGCCAGCCCTTGGGAGGCGGCCCAGACCTCCGGGGCGGGGCCCACGCAGCGGTCGAGGTGGAGGGGCGGGGTGCCTGGGGGGGGGGGGGGCAGGTCAGCATCGTGAGGGGTCGGACCTCGAGGTGTAAGGCCGAGGTCGGCTCGGGGAGGGGGGGCCCTAATCGTTCTCTTTCAGTCAGACAAGTGTGCAAAATTATCCTGGCGAAGGACCCAACCATATGCAATTGTGAATAACGCTTTGTGGGTGCCGCTTTCGGTGGGGCTCCTTATGGGGCCACGAAAGGCGTGCCACGAAACGCTGTCCTGGGCGTACGGGACGCATGAGGGCGGTAGCACTGGGGCCTTCGGTGGAGCTCCCTATGGGGCCACGAAACGTGTGAGGGGTGTGCCGAAATGGGTGCGGCGCCGCCATGCGAACGCAGCCACTGGGGCCTTCGGTGGAGCTCCCTATGGGGCCACGAAACGTGTGAGGGGTGTGCCGAAATGGGTGCGGCGCCGCATGCGGACGGCAGCACTGGGGCCTTCGGTGGAGCTCCCTATGGGGCCACGAAACGTGTGAGGGGTGTGCCGAAATGGGTGCGGCGCCGCCATGCGGACGCGGCCACTGGGGCCTTCGGTGGAGCTCCCTATGGGGCCACGAAACGTGTGAGGGGTGTGCCGAAATGGGTGCGGCGCCGCCATGCGAACGCAGCCACTGGGGCCTTCGGTGGAGCTCCCTATGGGGCCACGAAGCGTGTGAGGGGTGTGCCGAAATGGGTGCGGCGCCGCCATGCGAACGCAGCCACTGGGGCCTTCGGTGGAGCTCCCTATGGGGCCACGAAACGTGTGAGGGGTGTGCCGAAATGGGTGCGGCGCCGCCATGCGAACGCAGCCACTGGGGCCTTCGGTGGAGCTCCCAATGGGGCCACGAATCGTGTGAGGGGTGTGCCGAAATAGGTGCGGCGCCGCCATGCGAACGCAGCCTCTGGGGCCTTCGGTGGAGATCCCTATGGGGCCACGAAACGTGTGAGGGGTGTGCCGAAATGGGTGCGGCGCCGCCATGCGAACGCAGCGCCTTCGGTGGCGCTCCATATGGGGCCACGAAGCGTGTGAGGGGTGTGCCGAAATGGTGGGTGGCCGCATGCGGACGCAGCCACTGGGGCCTTCGGTGGAGCTCCCTATGGGGCCACGAAACGTGTGAGGGGTGTGCCAGAATGGGGGGTGGAACCGCATGCGGGCGCAGCCACTGGGGCCTTCGGTGGAGCTCCCTATGGGGCCACGAAACGTGTGAGGGGTGTGCCAGAATGGGTGCGGTGGCCGCCATGCGGGCGCAGCCACTGGGGCCTTCGGTGGAGCTCCCTATGGGGCCACGAAGCGTGTGAGGGGTGTGCCGAAATGGGTGCGGCGCCGCCATGCGGCAGGCACTGGGGCACTCCCTATGGGGCCACGAAACGTGTGAGGGTGCCGGTGCGGCTGCGGACGCAGCCACTGGGGCCTTCGGTGGAGCTCCCTATGGGCCACGAAACGTGTGAGGGGTGTGCCGAAATGGGTGCGTAACGTGGGGCATGCCACCGCCGGGCGTGGGGCCTTCGGTGGAGCTCCCTATGGGGCCACGAAACGTGTGAGGGGTGTGCCGAAATGGGTGCGGCGCCGCCATGCGGACGCAGCCACTGGGGCCTTCGGTGGAGCTCCCTATGGGGCCACGAAACGTGTGAGGGGTGTGCCGAAATGGGTGCGGCGCCGCCATGTGGACGCGCCACTGGGGCCTTCGGTGGAGCTCCCTATGGGGCCACGAAACGTGTGAGGGGTGTGCCGAAATGGGTGCGGCGCCGCCATGTGGACGCGGCCACTGGGGCCTTCGGTGGAGCTCCCTATGGGGCCACGACGCGTGTGAGGGGTGGGAGGAGGGAGGAGGGAGGAGGCGGAGGAGGAGGAAGGAAGGAAGGAGAGGAGACGCGGGGCACCGTCTCTTCAAAACGAGGACCCAACACCACAGGACGGTTGGGAAAAATCACAAAACTATTTGTTCTCCCCTCCCCATTGTTTAATGAATCATCATCCCACATTATTTTTATTCGTCTCTGTTGGATATGCTTGGGCATCCTCGGGAGGGTACACCCTATGATGTTTTGTGTGGCCGGCGGAGGGCCTCCTGCTCTTGAAGGCTGCTTTTCTGTCTTGGGTCCAGCCGCACCCCGCGCCTGGCCCCACCCCCGTCCCACTCTCCACCATCCGCGATGCTCGATCCGCGGCGCTCGATCCTCGACCCTCGATCCTCGATCCGCGTTGCTCGATCCGCGATCGCCGATCTGCGATCCTCGATCCTCGATAGCCGCGATCTCCCCCTCCTCCGTGCGTCCTCCTCCGTCCGTCTGCTGATCGACGGCGCGCCTGGGAGGAGCCCTGCGACCCTGGCGTTGCACTCTTTTGGGCAGCGGTCGCCAGCTCGCCCGGGGTCGGGCACCCCCGGGGCCATCACGGCTCGACCCGGCTCGACACATGGCGCAGGGAGACGGGGTCTGGGGTGCAGGTCCCAGCCGTACGCCCATCCTGAAGTCGGGCCTGTGCCTCTACAGGAGGAATCTTCAAGAATAGTCAGAAAATAGTCTTGGGACGATGTTTCTAATATGTTTGATGATTTCTGATGATAATAATAATAGTCTTAATAGCAATAATAATAATGATATGATAATTATTTACGCTTCGCGTATCCCCACCAGCCCATCTCACAGCAGCAGCTCTCGCGAAGCATGTCGACAGTTGTGTTTTTCAGGCGTGTGTCCGCTGGGCTCCGTATATCTCCCCTGTCCCTCCTTCCTCCCGCCTCCTTGTGAATCCTCCTTGTGGGGGGAGCGGGAGAAGGACGAGGCGGAAGAGGAGGGAGAGAAAGCGCTCCTCGTGATTTGAGTCGTTTGGGGTTTCTCGTCCTGGTCTGAGTCGTTCGGGCCCTTCTTCCTGGTGTGAGTCGTTCGGGCTCTTCGTGGTGTGAGTCGTTCGGGCTCTTCGTCCTGGTGTGAGTCGTTCGGGCTTCTCGTGGTGTGAGTTGTTCGGGCCCCTCGTCCTGGTGTGAGTCGTTCGGGCCCCTCCTCCTGGTGTGACTCGTTCGGGCTCCTCGTGGTGTGAGTCGTTCGGGGCCCTCGTCGTGGTGTGAGTCGTTCGGGCTCCTCGTGGTGTGAGTCGTTCGGGCGCCTCGTCCTGGTGTGAGTCGTTCGGGCCCCTCCTTCTGGTGTGAGTCGTTCGGGCTCTTCGTGGTGTGAGTCTCGGGCCCCTCGTCCTGGTGTGAGTCGTTCGGGCTCCTCGTGGCGTTCGAGGCGTTCGGGCACCTCGTCCCCTTTTGGGGCATCTTGGGGGCGTCTTGGCGGCCCCAGGGGCTTCTAGGAGCGTCTTGGGTGCCTTGGGGGAGCCTCTTCGGGCCTCTTGGGAGCCTCTTGGAGGCCGTTTGGGGCGTCGTGGGGGCCTCTTGGCGGCCCCAGGGGCTTCCAGGAACGTCTTGGGTGCCTCGGGGGAGCCTCTTGGGGCCTCTTGGGGGCCTCTTGGGGGCATCTTGGGGGCCTCTTGGAGGCCTCTTGGGGGCCTCCTGGGGGCCTCTTGGGGCCTCTTGGGGGCCTGTTGGGAGCCTCTGGGGGCCTCTTGGGGGCCTCTTGGTGGCCTCTTGGAGGCCTCTTGGGAGCCTCCTGGGGGTATCTTGGGGCCTCTTGGGGGCCTCGTGCGACCTCCTCAGAAGCGCAAATGAGCGCTACCCCCTGAGAAGGACAAAATGAGCCCAAAACCATCGTAAAATGAATGATTTTGCTAGGAAGGAAGATGAGCGCGGCCCCCTCGGGAGGCCAAAATGGGGCCAAAACCCTCGTAAAAGCAAGGATTTTGGCTTCACAGAAGAGGAGGGGGCTACAAGAGCGCCCCCCCGTCGGGGCCAGAATCCTCGTGAGGGTCGTCGTTTTTTGGCCCTCCCAGGCGTCGAAAAAGACCCCCCTGACCACCCGCGGGACTCCCTGTCCAGGCCCAGGGGGAGGGGATAGGGGGAGGGGTCAACCCCTCCCCGAAGGGGAAGAAGGGGGGTTGGGGGGTTGAGGACAGAGGGGGCTCTCTGAACCACTCACGCCCAAAGGGCTGGTGGGAGAATAATAATGATAATATATATATATATACATACATACATATTGCCATTGTTGATTTTCCTTCCAAAATCCGCCTGAAGGACGACATGCCCGATCTCAGCCCATCCCCATCCCCGTCCCGACCCCCACCGCCTCACCACCCGGGCGGGGCCCGAGGGGCCCCGGGCCGGAGGCGACCGAGGCGAGCAGAGCCCGGGGGGCGGGCGCCGTGCACGCGTGCGCCGGCGGGAGGCCCGCCGCAGGCGTGGACCGCCAGCGCCACGGCATGGATCCCAGACGTCCGCGGCCGCTCCCACAGCCCTTCGACGCGTTGGCCCCGGAGGTCTTGGGCCGCTTCCCCCGGGGCCGGCTGCTCGCCCCGAGGAGGTCTGCTCGCTCGGCGGCCCGAGGCCCGGCGAGGGCCCCCCGAGGCCCAGAGAGTGGCTCATAGCCTGCCGCTCCAAGTTGCGCGGGGCGTGGGATCTCCGGGGTGGCTCCCCCCTGGGCTGTCCGCCCCCGTCGGCGCCTCCGAGGGGAGGAGCGGCAGGAGCGGCAGGTCCGCACCGTGCAAACTACCAACAAACAGGTCAAAACATCGTCGCTGGACTATTTTTTGACCATTTTTGAATATTCCCCCTGTAGTGTTACAGGCCCGACTTAACCCTACCTCCATCCCCATCCCGAGCTCTACCATCCCGCCGCCCCACTTGGGGGTAACATCTGCCCCTCGAATGTCGAAGGGAACACCACATCGGCCCAGGCCACGCCCATGAGGACGGGGCTCGGGTATACGCGATGCTCACAGGGCGCGAGGGAGGCGGAGCGGGAGAGGGAGCGCAGGAGCACGGGGAAGAGAGGGGGGGAGAGGTAATGAGTCGAGCAGTGGCGAAGCGTCCTGGCTCGCCGATGGGCCCATCAAGGAGTGTTATCTGAGAACCTGTTGTGGAGTGCGCGAAATGTTCTCAGAACATTCCTGGCGGAGACCGTCTTGTTCTGATACATCGGTTTCATGTTCTTCGAACATTGCTCTTGTTTTATGTTAGTGTGTTCGGAGAACATGTCGTGGTAGGCCTTCAGGACTGCCGGCACGGTCGATCCTTGCTGAATGGAGGTAGTCGAGTCAGGGCGGGGTGCCCTCTCTCCACTCCTTCAACTCCCACTTTTGCACGTTCCCGCGGCTGTCCTTCCCCTTCCCCTCCCCTTCCCGTCCCTTCCAAATCCTCCCCTCTTCTTTGTTCTCCCTCTCTCCGTTTCCTTCTCGTCGCCGCCTTCTCCCCCTCCCATGCTGGTCCTGCCCCACCGCCTCCCTCTGTCCCAGGTCCTTTTCGAGCGCGTCTGCGTCCCCTTCTCCTCCACTCCGCGCTCCCATTGCCCTGCCATTGTGTTTTACCCCTCCCCTCCCCTCCATGTCCTGACATTTCCTCCCATGCTCACTGCCCCCATTCAGGAGGGAAAAAAACACAGACACAATTGTTCGTCGATCCCCCAGAGACTATGGGAAACATGGGCAGTGGGGGGGAAGACAAGACCCAGAAAATATGGGAAAATATGGGGAATCCTTTTATTTGTATGTATTTATCTGTGTGTCCCAGGGCCCCTTCAATTGTGTTTTATCCCTCCCCTCCCCTCCCCTCCATGTCCTGACATCTCCTCCCATGCTCACTGCCCCCACCGCTCTTGCCATCCTGCTCTCTCCACTCGGCGCCAGAGGCCCTCCGCAGGGGCTGCCTTACGGCGAGGCGCGAGCGCAGGCTCTCGGGAGCTCCGGCGCTGGGGCGGCGTTCCTGCGGGTGGACGCGAACAAGGCCCGCGCTCAGGAGGAGGAGGAGGAGGAAGAGGACGACGACGAGGAGGAGGAGGAGGAGGAGGAGGGGGGGGGCGGTGGTGGTGGTGGTGGAGGAAAGTAGCCCTCCCGAAGCAACGCAGCGAATTGTCCAGGCTGCCCAGATGGGGCCAGATCCGCGCGGCCGGAGGGTCGCGTCGCGTCTCCGCTGCAGCGGCGATGCGGCGCGATGCGGAGCCAGGTTTGTTTCATCCCAGCGTCTCCAGTGCATCAGCGGTGCAGCGCGATCCACCGACTCCATCTAAGCTGGCCCCATCTGGGCGGCTTTCAGAAGCGTGATACCAGCGTGCGGGAGGCCTGTCGGCGCCTGATCTGTGTTGCCGAGGTCCTTCTCGAATGTGTTTGCCGAAAGTGTTCGGTCTTGGGGATCCCGGAGCGTTTTGGACCACAACGCATTCGCGTACAGCTTAGCGGTTCTCAGACATATTGCAGCGTGTCCCCGTTCTCGTTCGGTTCGTTGCGGTTCGGGGGAAACTGGTTCGGTTCAATACGGCTCCGGTTTCGGAGCTGTTTGAGGCGGTTCCCATTCAGAGGGCGGTTCCGTTTCAGCCGGTTCCATTTCGGTTCTCGGCTTTTGGAGATGACGTGTGCGCGTGTGCGTCTACATGATCATATGGAAGCGTTTGGGGGTTCAGTTCAACCAGGAGTCAGGAGGAACCCTGGGGTCAGGGGAGCCACTGGGCCCAGCTACCCGACGAGTCAGGGGAGCCACTGTGCCCAGACGTTACGCATGGTGCCCTCGACTGACCAGTCGACAGCATCGTGCCCGCTAGACCAGGGGGCTCTGGCGACAGCGGGCAGTTCCTCAGCGCCAGGGTAGAAAACGCTTGGACTACGGCCTGGGACAGTACGGACCACTCACTCCTGGCATGGGTCATCCCAAAGGACAACTGGGAAGGCAAGGGCGCCGCCCGCGCCCTTAGCGGGCGCGCGCAGGATGGTGGGGGCCCAGCCCCGGCCGCCGTCCCCAGTTCGGCCCTGGAGGCCCCGAGGACCCTTGGAAGCCCAAAGCGTATTTTCGAACCGTCCAAAAATGCGATTTGAGCTTTTCCGCCGCCCTTCCGTCCCCAGCGCAGACCTGGAGGCTCCGAAAACCATCTGGAGGCCCAAAACGCACTTCGAACCATCCAAAATTGCGATTTGAGCTTTTCCGCCGCCCTGCCATCCCCCGAGCAGCCTTGGAGGCTCCGAAAACCACTTGGAGGCCCAAAGCGCATTTTCGAACCGTCCAAAAATGCGATTTGAGCTTTTCCGCCGCCCTTCCGTCCCCACTTCGGCCCTGGACAAGCAGCAAAACAGGACGAGGGAACTCGGGGGCGCAGGAGAGGAATTGGGAGCGGGCAGGATGGACCTAGCCCGAGAGTGTGCGCTCGCATCGGGCAGTTCCCAAGGGTCCACCTCCGCGACCAGTTCCCGGTTCGGGCCCGGTTCGGTTCCACCGCCTCCGATTCGGTTTGGTTTCGGTTCACGCCGGGTTTCTGACGCGTTCCGGTTCCGTCGGTTCTCCCTCGGTCGGTTCGGTTCTGTGCTTCGCGGTTCGGTTCTGTGGTTCACTGATATTGTCTATCTGTCCGCACTGCCAATTGGTTCATGGACACTTCGAATGATAGGTATTCGGTACTGCATAAACGCCGCGCAGCTTTCCGATCGGGAGGGGCAGCATGAATAGGCAACCCTGAGTCCCAGAGCAGTGCACGGCTGACCCACTGGTGCCATGGCCGGGGCTCTCCAGCTATGGCGTGGCACGTGCGAGGAGTGGGCCATGCCGGGTTCGGGGGCACGGGGGGCGCGCGTGCGCGCCCCGTCGCAGTCGGGCCTCCAGTTGGGGTTTTTTGCGGAGGGAGAGACGGGCGACCGGGTCGACCAGCGCGGAGGGTTCGGACTCGTCGGAGCAGTTTTGAGTCTCTTTGGCTCGTTTCTGCGGCAGTATGTTTAGCGTCGGCTCGCGAGGCTTTGACATGCGTGGCCACACCAGCAACAGCAAGAGGAGAGCGGCTCGAGACGCAGAATCTGGTAGTCGATGGGTCTGCAGTCGAGGCAGCGGAGCGGGAACCGAAACTACTGCGGAAGAAGTGCTGCGTGTCTTCTCGGAGAGCGCGGCAGGAGGCGGCGTGGGCGCGGCGGACCGAAGAGGCAGTGGAGAAGGATTCGAGGGAGGAGAAACTACCAAGACCCAAACGACTGGCGTTTACTAAACGGCCCCGGGCGTTTATTCAACAGTCCTGGCCTGTTCGAGTCCAGCCTGAGGTGCGCTTACTAAACGGTTTCGCTTGTCAGAGTGCCTGTTATGGGGGCGGATGTTCTGCCCTCCGAAGATGCCTGCGAGGGTTCTCCAGTGCCGGGAGGGTGCATGGCTAGTTCTGGGAAGGCTGGCGTACCGACGCGCCCGCCCCACTGGAACCGTACCTGCGACGCCGTTTGGGTGGGGCGATGCGGGAGAGGTGAGGCTTGGTGGATACTGGATAGGGGGCAGCTCCCCCGCTCGTTTCCCCGTGGGCGCGCCGCCGATCCCTCGATGCTTTTGCTTGCGCGCAGCAAAAAAACAATCCGCTGCGGGAAAACGGTGCCGGGGATGGGGTCGAGAGGTCCCGAGAGGGTCACGTCGTGAACAGCACGACGGCGGGAGTATGGTGTGTGTGTGCCTGGGGCGTTGTGGTTGCAGGTGGAGGGTTCATGGCAAGCGTGATCAAAGCTCCATGGGCGAACACGCGCCCATGCCTTTCACGCATTTTCCGCCCCACGGTCTTCAGTCGTAGCCGAGGAAGACGTGAAGAGGACGGAGAGGATGAGAAGGGGAGAGGCCGGGGGAGGAGGAGGGGGATGGGGAGGAGGGGGGTGAGAGGGGAGGATCAGGATGAGGAGGATGGGGAGGGGCCGGGGGGGAGGAGGGAGATGGGAAGGAGGGAGGTGAGGGGCGAGGATCAGGAGGAGGAGGAGGAGGAGGAGGAGGAGGAGGAGGGGGAGGGGGTGGAGAAGGCGGAAGAGGAGAAAGAGACTGGTCATGCTGAGAGGTATGCGAGTCAGTGGTAGCGATATCGGCGCAGCAAGTAAAGGGGAGATCTCATGTGTTGCTTCTGCGTCTGGAGCCTGGCTCTCCACATATTATTGGCAGCATACGCGATCAGATGGTGCCCCTTATCTGGGATTTGTACGGGTCGTCTATTTGTGGCCACGCATGTCTTGGATGAAGACGGAGGCGTTGGCATGGAACTCCGAGAGGAGGTGCTATTCATTGCGGCGACCTCAGAGATAGACAACTGGTTAAATGTCACCGGGGCTGACGCCAAGAGGGCATTGTCGAGGCTTCCAGAGGCCTCAAGCTCCAGCTCACCAGCAGAGACCAGCTCGAGCGGAGCAGGTCATGTGCCACGCCCTTCTCGGGCCAGACGAAAGGGGGGGATTGGGAAAGGGGGGGTTACGAAATTTGCTGCATGCAGCTGGTTTCGGCCTCACCGAGGGGCCCATTCCTCGATACATAGCTCCCTCCGGCGCCGGGAGGCGCCGGGAAAATCAGCTACGTGAGCTGATTCTCAAGACCCCCCTTTGCTATCCCCCCCTTTCGCCCGACCCGAATGTGCCACGCCCTTCGGGGCTGAACTGAGCTCGGCGACCGCGCCCCCGGCCTGCATCGCACTCTGTGACACTCCTGGCGACGCCTGGCGGAGCGCGGCCCGGCGCTCTCCCGGCGCTCCCCCCCGCCTCCAGCGCGCGCGGGAGTGCGCTCTTCGAGGCGGGCTGCGCGGGCGGCCTCCTCGAGGCGCCTGGGCAGCGTCGGCGAGGGGCGCGCCTCCTCCTCCTCCTCCTCCTCCTCCTCCTCCTCCTCCTCCTCCTCCTCCTCCTCCTCCTCCTCCCTCTCGTCCTCCTCCTCCTCCTCCTCCTCCTCCTCCTCCTCCTCCTCCTCCTGGGGGTGCCGGCGCGCCCTCAAGGAGGACGCGTCGGCACCCCCCTTGAGGGCCAGGGCTACTTCCGCGGTGATGTCAGCTTCAGCTTGCGGTGGCGACCCATGCCAAGAAACACCCTGCTCGCCTCCCGGGTGCCCTGGGCTGCTTCGGTCTCGATGGCTCTGCGATGGAAAGCGCGACGTATTCCCTCGCCAAAAGTCAGTGGGCGTCCTGGGGTCTCAGGCTTGGGTCTCTTGGGGAAGGCGTCTTGTGGACGGGCCTCCACTGCAGGCCGTCTCCGCAGTCCGGTGGCAGAGCCCGTCTCGCCCGCGAGGACTGGCGTGCTCTCGCCTGCCGGGCCTGCCGAAGGAGCGCTCGCCTCCGCGCTGGCCCTCCCCGCGGACCCGGTCGAGCCGGGCGTTCCAGGCCCAGGCCCGGCAGGCCTTCGCAAGACGTGCAGGCGTGCTGCCGACTCGGCGCTGCTGTGCCGCCTCGGCACGCGGCGTGTGCTGACCGTGGTGCACGAATCGAGCAGTGCCCATACTCACAGAATCCCCCTCGTCAGACGGTGCCAGCCATGCTCCGCGGGTGTTGTTCGGCGCCGCGCAGTAGCAGTGGCAGGGAGCAGGAGCAGGAGGGAGAGAGGGAGAGAGAGAGAGAGAGAGAGAAAGAGAGAGGGAGGTAGCAGGAGAGGGTGAGGAGGTTTCTGAGGACGACGACGGACTGAGCACCAGTAGAACAGCGAGGACTTGGGACGCTGGCTGGCGCGTGGGCATGGATTTCGACGAGGCGAGTGGCGGGAGGGCGACTGGGAGGGCGAGGTCACGGGAAAGATGACAGGCTTGCAGTTTTCAAGGGGTCTTGAACCGCATGCCTTAGTAAGGAGGAACACGCTGCGGACGGCGTAAGGGTCGCAATCAAACAAATAGGGGAGGCACGATAGTCCAGCAACCCTTTGCCAGGATGATTCCTTGGAGTGGACTGAGCTGCTGGCGAAGTTCCCGCACGGGGAAGCGGTAAACATCCTGGGTTTCCACGACCTCGACGGGGACGGGACCATCTCGCGGGAGGAGCCCAGCTCTTCTCTTTCGTTGCTCGCAGAGTCGGCTCCAGCAGACGGTCGTCTCGTGAATTCTGTTTCCGCCCCGCCCCAGTGCATGCTTGTCAAGGCCTCTGAGTGAGCATCCGTTGGCTCTGCGCCTGTAGGCTGGCAGTCTGCATGCCACACGCAGCTCGTTGCGGTCTTCGGCAAAAGGGTGGGGGGTCTGACGCGACAGACGCGGCCGCGGTGGAGCTAACCCTTGGGGATCCTCCCAGCGCGTCTCGAAGGCCGCGCTGATGCGTGGGCAATTCTGTGCGAGTCGCTGACTCGAGTGGGTGACGTATCATAGCGACGTCGGCAACCGCAGGCATGATGATTATAGTTGCGATGTTGGCGATGACGATGACGATGAGGACGGCAGGGCCGAGGACGGCGCCGATGCTGATCACGCACAGCCAGTGTGCAGCCCAGGGCATGTCGGAGCCCGCGCGGTGAGGGGGCCCAGGATCGCGCGTGCGGCACGGCTCGGCCAGGAGGGGCGCACCCGCTCCTCCTCCTCCTCCTCCTCCTCCTCCTCCTCCTCCTCCTCCTCCTCCTCCTCCTCCTCCTCCTCCTCCTCCTCCACTGGAGGGACGCGCACGCGAGCACGGGCGAGCCCGCGCTCGGCCGCCGCAGGGGCCTGTCCAGGCGGGCGCCCGGCTTCCAGGAGGGCGGTGGGCAGCGGGCAGCGGGCCCGCGCGGTGGCCGAGGGGCCCGCCCCCGAGGCCGCCAAGGGCGGCCCGCCCCAGCAGGTCACCACCCACCAAATCCGCCCCGGCCCAACCCGAAGGCCCAGCTTCACCCTCGATTTCCAGGGAGGGGGGGGTCGGGGAACATCGAAAAAGCACGTGTGGAACCCGTCCACCCCCCCCAACCCGAAACTTGGGTCTCCGGGGTAGGCTGGGGTGGCCTGGCAGGCAGTCAGCAGGGCTCGGGCCGGAGCCCCCCGAGCGGTGGCGCCGGCCGGGGGCCGTCCTCTGCGATAGCGGCCATAGCGGACGCCGGCGGCTGCAGCAGGGGGGTATCGGGGGCACCGATCAGGGGGGACAGGCAGAAGGGGGGACGCATCGACCCCCCCATCGCACAGTGATCGCCGACCGCCCCGCCCAGGAAGGTGCGGACTTCTTGTGACTGGGGGCCTGTCGCCCATCTATCGGCGATGCATCGGCGATTCCAGGTCGATGTTTCCCCCCTATGCCGGTCCCCTCCCTCCGATCGTTGCCCCTAAGGGGATAGGTCGAGACGATGAATCCAAGGAATTTCAAATTCTGTTTACGCAGATGTTTCCCCTGCATGGCTCTAGAACGCGTCGAAGGACTTCCAGATTCCGGCTCTCGGCAGCTACGGATGGCGCGACAAACCTACGGATATGCATGTCTACAGCAGATCACGCGGCAATGCGTGTGAATGTGCGTGAATGAGTGTGAATGTGTGTATGTCAATGTGTGTGCATGTGTGTGAATGCGTGAATATTCGCGTTTCTGTGTGACTGTTTGTGTGTTGGTTTCTTCTGCCAGCGCAGACGACCCCTGCCTAGCCGCCGACGCAAAAAGTGTGTGTACGTATTTATGTGTGTTTGTGTGCGTGTGTGTTTGATTCTTCCGCCAGCGCAGACCACCCCTGCCTAGCCGCCGACGGAAAAAGTATATATATATATATATATATATATATGTGTGTGTGTGTTCGCGATCATACTCTGCATGGCGTGGCAACGATGCTCGGGACAACGATGCTCAGGGGGAGCATGACGCCCGGGGTTCGCAGAGGACAAGTTGTCCCCAAGGGCGGGGGTAGCGAGCGAGGCCAGCTGGATGCTCACGCTTCCTCCTCCCAGCGGCCGTTGAGAGCGCTCCCTCGCTGACCCCACCCCCGTCCCTGCCCTACCGGGGCCGGGCGAGAGGGTGGAGATCGGGAAGGGGAGGGCGCAACATCTGCGGACTGCAGCTGGCTCTGGCTCCGCCGCCGGGCCTTTGCCTCGATGCACGGGCGCCCCCGGCGCCAGGAAGCGCCCGAGCCGAGAGATCAGCGGCGTGGGCCGAATCGCCAGCCCGCCCTTGACTCCCCCCCCCCCTTCGCCCGACCCGACCCCCACCTTTCTGGGACGGCGAGATCTTTACACGTCCGCTGCCCCGGGCCCGGCCACGCCTGGGCCCGAGCGCGGTGGATGTCCAATGCTTCCCTGGCCATGCCAGCAGGGCGTACGCGCCGCTGCCGGGCCCAGGCGTGGCCAGGCGGGGGGCAGAGGATACAGTCGGACCGAGGTATCGAGCTCGCTTCGGGGAGGGTGCCCTTCTTCGTGCTTGTCGATGTTCCCGTGCATCCTGGGGGAGAGCATCCTCGAGCGATCCCGTGGTCTGGGGTGTTCTGCCCGGCGGAGGCTCTCGCTCTTGAGAGATGTTCTTCTGCCCCAGGCCCGACTGTATGTCTAGATCTCGTCGCCCTACATTACGCCCCCCCGACCGAATGCAAATGGCATGGGGCTCGGATCGCCCCTGTCTTCGACGAGGCTCACCGGCGAATAAGGCCCGCCCCTGGGCCGGGCGTTGCGTGATTCGGCGGCGAGCGAGGGGGGGGAAAGTGAGAAGGAGAAGACCCTCTGAGAAGGTGGCGGGCCTTCTCGGAAGCCCTCCGGGCTTCTGAGAAGTTTTCTGCGTCTTCGGGGAAGCCCGGGACAATTTCTCAGAGGGCTGGGTGGCTTCGAAGCCTTCTGAGCAGGCCCGCCCCTTCTCACTTCCCCCCACACACTCGCCACTCGCCTGCACCACTTGTGCCCCAAAGGGGCCCCGAAGGGGCCCCCTGGGGCCTAGAGCCCAGAATATGCACGACAGGTGGACGCTTCTTCGCCCCCCATGCATCTCAGGAGGGGAGAAGAGCGATAGACACCAAGAAACGTCGATTCCCCAGGAAACATGGGAAACCACCGGAGGTGACCGGGAAGATCTCACAGCTCGGAAGATAGGAGCAGATGCGGGTAGTCCTGGGACGTGCGCCTCTTCATTCGCGTGCCCCTGGGCGCCTTCACGATCGGCCCCCCCCCCGGGGCCATCCACCCCATCGCCCCCCCCCCCCGGGGCCTTCACGATCGCCCCCCCCTTCTTTATTCGCGTGCCCCTGGGCGCCTTCACGATCGCCCCCCCTGGGCGCCTTCACGATCGCCCCCCCGCATTCGGCAACGCCCGAAGGGGCCATGCACCTGGGGCCCTCCACCCCTGGCAGCTTCCGCCGTGGGCGAGGCCCGCGCCGCAGGAGTTCGCGGAGGCGTTCGGCTTCTGGGCGGGCACCGTCCGCGACGTGGTCGAGGACCCCATCATCGGCTTTCCCGGGTGGGCTCCGAGCCCAGACATGATCGCGTCGCTAAAACAAAAAATCTGGACGGGAGGTTTTTGGCCAATTTCGGCCTCGGGGGGCCCTCGCTGGGCCTCGGGACCGCCGAGAAACGATTCAGGATGAAAGACCGGTGCCAGGGAGAGGGTCGGGACTTCCGGGGACGCCGTCCTGAAAAAATCAGGACGTCGCATGTCTGGGAGTAGATGGGGTCGGAGGATCGCGCCGCATCGCTTATGCATTGCCGATGCATTGCCGATGCGGCTCGGTGTGGAGCGAGCGCGATATCCCCCGCGCCGACGTCGGCGGTGAATCGCCGAAGCCGCCGATGCATCACCGATGCGTCGGCGACGTATCAGCGATGCGGCGCGATCGTCCGACCCCATCTACTCGGACCCAGTCTGGGAGGCCTCTAAGGACACCCCCGAGAAGTTCCGCAAGTTCCAGCTCCGGGACATGGTCGGCGACTTCAACATCGAGGATGGCCGCGGCATCTGTCCGGAGGCTGGCACGAGAGGTGGTCCCAGCCCAGGGTGCCCCGAGCGCTTCGCGCACCCGTTTGGGCCCCCCCGTGGGCCCCGCGAGGGGTGCTTTGGAGGCCACGAGGGCTTCCCTGGTAAAAGCTTAGGCCAGCTTGGGCCAGGGTGCCCTCTGGCAGCACCCGACCCGTGCGCGGCCAGTGAGAGATGACCCGGCATCGAAACAGCACCTTGCACGAGGGGAGGGGGGAAGAGAGTCCCCCGGGGGGAGGAGGGGGAGGAGGACGAGGAGGACGAGAAGCAGCAGGACGCCGGTGAGACGGCCAAGAAGGACGAGGACGGGGAGGAGGAGGGAGGCGAAGGAGGAGGAGGAGGAGGCGGAGGAGGAGGATTAGGAGGAGGAGGAGGAGCTGCTGCAGATCCAGCTGACCAGCCTCCTCCCTGCCAGGGCCAGCTCGACCCGATTCCATCCCGAGATTCCGAGGGTCCGACGCGGCTTTTGATGCCTGCACGGCCTCGGTGAGCATCCCGGCGCAGCGGCCCCGCTGGGGCCTAGAGACCCCGTGCCGATATGCGGCCCGATCCGACGCGCACTCCGACTCTCGATCTGCCTTCTCGACTCGACGCCGGCCGTCAGTGCCGATGAACGTTGAATCTAAGCACCCCCATCCCCGCCAAGCCACGGCGTCTCGGCCCACCGTCCCACCACCCTCACCACCACCAAACCACCCCAACCCAACCTGAAGGCCTCAAATTGACCTCCATTTCCAGTGGGGGGGATTCGGGGAACATCGAGAAAACACAGATGGAACCCGTACCCCCCCCCAACCCGAAATTCGGGTCTTCGGGTTGGGCTGGGGTGGTCTGGTAGGTAGTCACACCCAGGCCCCTCGAAGCCAGGAGGGAACAGCCTGTATCCCCCATCTAGGGTGAAGTCGGGCCGGTCCCTCTGCAGGAGGAGTACTCCAGAACAGTCCGAAAATAGTATGGGGACGATTTTCTGAATTGAACATGGTTGAGTACGTCTTGATTTTCCATGTTTCGTCCAAAATCCGCCTGCAGGGGGACGTGCCCGACCTGACTCTGGGGAGGTTCCGTGCCTCGGCCGCACGTGCAGGACAGCCTCGTCACATTGCTGCCGCTTCGCCCGCTGGGAGATCCGGCGCTCCGAAGAGATCGGAGCGGCGGGGGCCGTTCCCGGCCTCCGGGGGCCCTCGCCGGGCCTCGGGGCCATCAATCAATGAGAAGGCTCGGGGCGAAAAAATCTGGGCCTCGGGAAGCGGTCCAGACCTGCGGGGGCCACGCACCGAAGACATCGGAGCGGCCGCGGACGTCTGGGGTGGATGTGCATCCCGGGGCGCCGACGGTCCACGTCTTCGGCGAGCCTCCCCGGCGAGTGCGCGTAACGCCCGCCCCCTGGCCTCGTCGCCTCTGTCGTCGCCTCCGATCCTGGGCCCCGCTGGCCCGGCCCGCTTTGCTGGGATGGTGGGATCGGGACGGGGACGGGGGTGGGCTCAGGTCGGCATGTCCTCCTACAGGCGGACTCTGGAAGGACAATCAAAGATAGTCCTGAGAAGCTCAAGATAATCAAACATAGCAGAAAACCCTGACCTTCCAGAGTGCTAAAAAATAGCCCTCCAGACCTGTGGACCTATCTGGGCTGCCTAAAACCTCGACTGGAATTGAGATATCGAGGTCCTGGTGCTATTCTTTCGCCCTCCTGGAAGGTCAGGGAAATCGTCCCCTGATCATTTTCTGGTTATTGTCTGATTCTTTTTGGATTCTGGGCCACGTCTCTATGCGCCCTGTGCCGAGCCGGGCCGATCCGTGGGGGCCCTGAAAAGGGGGCCCGGCACCGGGCGAGCTATATCGACCTTTGCCGACGGAGTGCCACGGCAGGGTCTCGGGGTTCCCCCCCAGGCGCGCCGCCGATCAGCCGACGGACGGGGAGGACGGAGAGGAGGATCGAGGGTCGAGGATCGGGGCCCACGGGTCGAGGATCGGGGATCGCGGATCGGGGATCGAGGGTCGAGGATCGGGGAGGACCGAGGGTCGAGGACGGGGAGGACGGAGAGGAGGATCGAGGGTCGAGGGTCGGGGATCGGGGATCGGGGTCGGGGATCGCGGATCGGGGCCCGCGCCTCGCGAGCCTCGCGGGTCGAGCATGTGGCGCAGCGAGCGCCGAGCACCGCGGGGCGCGGCCTCCTCGCCGCAGCCGCGGCCCGAGCGGGGGGCCCCCCCCGAGAGCAGGGCGGGCGCGGGGGCCGGCCGCCCGAGCCCCGGCTGCGGCAGGGCCCCCCGCCGCGCGGGAGGTGCCGCGCGCCCGGCGCCGCGGGGCGCCGTGGGCGGAGGCCGTCACGGCGCGGGGCCGGGCCCGAGCGCTGTCTCGCGGGGTTTTTTCGGGCCGAGCGAAAAGGGGGGATATCATCGGAGGTTGATAGACCTCCTACCCTGACACGTCGATTAAGGAATTGGCCGTTTTCGGTTCGCCAGGGGGCGTCGCGGCCGTCACTTTCGCGGGTCCAGGTCCGTCGGTTTCGGTCCCAGGCCGTTTTCACTAAGGGGAACAAAAAGTAGCATAAACATAAAAACTCGGAGGCCCGCGCGGATTTCTCGGATCGGCGCTGGGGCCCCGGCGGCGCCTCCAGCGCTGATCCGAGAAATCCGCGCGGACCTCCGAGTTTTTATGTTTATGTCACTTTTCTTTCCCCTAGTCCTGCTGGACTTTCGGGCCGAACGAAATGGGGGGATAGGGAAAGGGGGGGGTGACGAAATCTGCTGCATGCAGCTGGTTTCGGCCCCGCCGCCGGGCCCATTCCTCGATACATGGGTGCCTCCGGCGCCAGGAGGCGCCGGGGAAAGCAGCCACGTGAGCTGATTCTCAACCCCCCCCTTTGCGATCCCCTCCTTTCGCCCGGCCCGAGACTTCTCGGCCGTGTCTCGTGTTCCGTTTGGGCAGGGGGGTGCAGGAAAGCAGGTCGAGCACAGCGAAAAACGACACGGACCAACAACAAAAGACAAAGAGAAGCCGTGCACGTCAGGGGCGCATTGGCAAAAGGGTGGTGAACAAAACGAAACACAACGCTTAGGTCCAGCACTGCCACGGAGGGCGGTGCCGGCCCCGGCCTTCTGAGAAGTTGTTCGGACCCGCACCCTCTCGAGTCATGAAGAACTCAAGGCGGGAGGTGTTTCACCATTTTCGGCCTCCAGGGGCCCCGACTGGGCCTCGGGACCGTCCAAAAGCGACTCGGGATGAAAAGCCGGTCATGGGGGATGGGTCGAGACCTCTGGGAGCCCGACGTCATGCAAAAGTCATGACGTCGGGGGTCTGCCAAAGGCACCTAAGACCTCTCAGAAGCCTGGGGGCCTCCTGAGAGGCCCTGCCGCCTTCTGAGAAAAGGCCTTCTCCTTCTCACCCGCCGCCGATCCTGGTTGTCCCTCGACCTGTGGGCCCGCACCGGAGGCCACCCCGGCGAGAGGCCGCTCTTGCGCGCAGCCGATCCTTGCAGACCCCAGGCGCCCGTCCCCAGAGACAGACCCAGACCCTGGTCGGCACGAGCGAAGGTCAGGGGCGGCCAAGAGGGGGCTGATGACGAGGGGGGCAGGTCTCGTTTCGATTCCCCCGATCCGATTCGACGTCGATGGCTTCCTGTTCCAATTCGATCCGACTTCGGATTCCGGTATGGGTTTCGATCTCTTGCGGGATGCAAACTATCTTGCCGATTTCTCGCCGATTCGACAATTCCCGACTCGGCTGCCGATTTCCGCCGATCCGATTAATTTCGATCGCCGATCCGGCTTATCGATTTGATTCTGGGCTCTCCTGTGGGGGGGATATCATGGCGGGAGCCATTATATCTCCCCAGATTTCATTGCGACTCTTCTTATTTCAATGCGCCCCCTCCCTCCCCTCGCTGGGCCGCGCACATGCCGCAGGCCGCAATTTGCGCCCCCCCCTCTTGGACGCCCCCGTTTTGGCCGCCCCCGAGAAATAGGTACGGAAAGAATGGGTACGATGCCCAACAGCAGTTCCTGTTCGTTTTGGGCAGGGCTCGCTGTCTGCGCCGCCGCGGACTTCACTTGAGGCAGAAGGCCGCCTGCCCAACAGCGGCCGCTGTCGGTCTTGGACGGCATTCGTTTTTGAGCATCGTACCCATGTCTTCCGTATCCATTGCGGGCGTTCGGTCGCAGTGGCGCGCCCAGGGGTCACCGCGCGCGTTCCACGACTCGCAAAGTGCCGACTCGCCAACGTTCGAAGAACACAGGGTTTATGCGATGTGATGGATCGAAGAACCCCCGCAGCGAATGCAGGCCAGTTGCTCTAGTAGCTGCTTTGCGAGTAGGGGGACGCGCTTCTTCACCGCCGTCACGGCGGCGCGCCCGGGGGGCGAATCCGAGGAGCAAGAGGTCACCACGATGACACGCTCCAAAAATTCCACGATCTCTGGGGTGTCACCAGAGATTTCTTGGTGCTCCACGCGGGCTGCAACAACGAGGGCCGCTAGATACGGGAACTCTTGGGGAGCGCATCCAGGGCCAATCCTGTCGTGACATCATTCTCGCCGTAAGGAAAGATGGGGACAGGCAGACCCTGATTGCCAGACTCCAAAAATATTGGCAAAAATATAATATATTATCAATATTAATATTATTAATAATGTCTCGAATAATATTTCTCTTATTTTTACTGGCTGGCGTCTCATTTTGCTCACCACGGGCGATCTCGCAGCGCTCCACGCTCGAGAAACGTAGCAGAGAGAGAGATGGGTCCAGGGCTCCAGTCGAGTTTGTGCTGCGATGCTGCATGTCTGTTGCGACGCCAGATTCTCGGGGGAGGGGGCGGGCCTTTACAGGAGGCTCAAAAGCCTCCGAAGCCCCGCCGCCTTTTTTGAAGGCCTGCCTCCTCTCACGTCTCCCCTCGGCGCGCCGCCGAGTTTGGGTCCCCCGGGGCCGTCACGGCTCGGTCCGGCTCGGGAGCTCCCTCGCAGATTGCGGGCCGACGGTTCTGGCCGTGCTTCTTGGCACGGCGCCGTGGTCTGTTCTCGGCGTCGGTCACCGTCCGCGCGCACCGATGGGCTTTGCGGTGGCCCTCGCCTCGATCCTGGCAGTGGGAGCGTGGGCAGAGTCTTGGGAGGCGGACCTACGTCGCGCGAAACAGAGGGTGCCACGAGCCGAATGGCGAGGACAGGGCACGCTGGCGTCGGCCAATGCCAAGCTGAATGAACACCTGGCCGCCAACCAAAACCTTCGCCTGAAAGCGTGCGAGCAGTTCACGGTCACCGAGCTCCGCGCAACGTTGCGGCATCTATTCCTACATGTTTCAGAAGAGTTGTGGCAAGTATACCAGCATGGAGATGGTCGCCAGCCGACGCATACAAATTTATCAGACATCGAGGCGCATTGGGAGCTGCATGCTCCCGCCGATGACGTGCGGGTGCGCGACGCTCATTGCCACGAGGCCGTCATGTGGTTCGTGCACCATCTCACGTCGGAAAACCAGCGACGAGTCCAGACTGACTTAGTGCTTCCGATGTTGCCCATCAACGACCACGCTATTGATTCGCAGCTTCGCGGTTCACAGGACAAAGCTGGCGCTTTCTACACGGCCAAGACCACGTGCCAGAAATGCCACGTCGTCGGCCCTCCTGGCTCTTCCGTCGATACCAAGACGGTACAAACGCCAATACTCAGTTCAAGGTTTCATGTCGGTTTCGTTGAGTACACGGCAATGTTGAAACCGTTGCCGTGGCAGCATGGAAAAACAAACAGCGGCAGTGTGCATTACGATTTTGAGGGCCGCAGGCAAGTCTGGTTTCACGGGAAAGGGCAGACCGACAATTGGTGCCAGTGCGCTGGCCTGAAAACAGACGAGCCGTGCCACCTCATTGCGGCCCCTTCGCAGGGCGAGAGTGGAGGCGGGGCGACATACATCGCATTCAAGACGCTTGGCAAGTGTTGCAAGCTCGGCGCATTTGATCAAGGTTTCGGACCTCTGCGCCCCGACTGGCTCTCGGGCTCGAAGAGGACGGGCCAGGTCAGAGTCGGAAACCGGTCCTGCGATATTTGGTCTGGTGGTCCGCCAGGTGATACGTTTATGATGGTTTCGGATGATTGGGGTGTCGACGAGAAGGGGCATCCGTGTCAGTACTCGGACCATTTCAAGTCGTGGGCGCGAGTGCTCTTCGGCATGGCTCATAACTACACGTTCGACGATGCTACTTATTCAGAGGCAGTTGAGCATGATGACGTGTTCGCGATCCCCAGCGGCATAGGCTGCGAGAATGAGTGCCCCAACACGGCCGGTGGATGGTGCAAGGCACCAGCGCCAAGCAAGGAGATACTCGTTTGAGGCTTGGTTGCCAGTGTTACTCTGCGCCAGCACTCGAATGAACGTTATTTGCCTGTCAGGATGGACCTCAAAAGTAGATTAACCTGGGTTTATAACGTTCTGGGACTATTGACCAGGGTTCATACTGTCTCGCCCGGAACATTATGAGCCTGGGTTTCAACGTTTTGGGAATATTGATTGGGGTTCATAATGATCCCCCCAGAACATAACAAACCCTGGTTTATAATGTTCTGGGGATATCGACCCCCAAAGACAGATTAACCTGGGTTCATAATGTTCCGCGGCGCTGCTGAGGTCTCCGGCCCGCCGGCGTTAGGCAATTCGGCTCTTGCGCGGCCCGCTCGGACCTGGCTCGCCGCTGGCGCCCTCGCCTGCGGCTGCGGCAAAAAATCCCCATCAGCCCCTCCAGAAACGATCGCCTCGGGAGTTGCCCTGATCGGGGAAGTAGGAGCATCCAGTGGAACAGACGGCGAGATGGCCGTCAAGGCCAAGCTCGCCTGTCCTGTCCTTCAACCCGCCCACGACCCACCTGCGACCCTCCCGCGACCCATCCGCGACCTGCTCGCGACCCGCCCGCAGCTCACTTGCGACCCGCCCACGACCCACCCACACTGCTTTAAGCAAAATTCGGCGCCTGCGGCGGGCTCGTTGTGGATGGGTGACAAATCAACGCCTGCGGAGGGCTTCTCCGGAGCCTCGCAGATTGCCGACAGCTCCGCCGCCCCCTCACTGTTATGCACAACTGCGGGGGCTGCGCTACAAAGTTCTGGACGGCCACTTCAGTCTGGGTCCCGCCTGCCCGCTCCTGTTGACCAGGTCACTCGCAAGGGTGCGCAGATGACCGCGCCTCGTGATTTGGCCCTCTCCCACGAGGCCGCGCGAGAGCGCGAAGGTAGCAGCAATGCGTTGCACATCGCGTGCAACTGGGTGACGTCGGCACAGGGCGGGCTCTGGGTCAAAACTCTGCCCCTGGATCAATGCAGGGGTGCGCTCGGCCAACACTTCCGGTGAGAATCCAGCCGTGGCCGCCGGGGCGCTCCAGGAGGCCTAAAATCGGACGGCGCTAGGACGAGGACAAGTCCGTTCCACAGCGTTCTGGAACGCTCTCAGAACGTTCCAGATAGCTCTGAGAAGGCCGCGGCGCCCGATACTGACAACCCGCATAGCAAGGATGGGCAACTTTCCCAAGTGTACCCTCGAATCCTTGCCTCCTGGGTCCGTCTTTGGCCACTTCCGTCGGCCCCGCCCCGCTCGAAAAACTTCAACTAACATGCGCGTCTGAGGCCCTTGCATTCTCATACCCCTACCCTGCCCCCACCCCTTCCCTTCCCCCAAATCCCCCCTTTGGTCGCCCATCCTGGGAGGCCCTCGTCGCCGCCGCCAGACTCGCCCGGAACTGCAAGCCACAGCGCGTCCTGGGCCTGGCATCGCTCGGACGTGTGCATTTTTTCCTCTGCGAGAACCATCGAGGACCATCCTGGACCATCGAGCAAAACACGGAGAGAAAAAAAACAACAAAATCAAACAAAAAAAAAAAAAAAAAAAAAAATCGCACGAAACCGAAGACTGCACGGGAAATGGACGTCCGAGCGATGGCAAGTGGGTCCGGGGAGGGGAGCCTGTGGCTCCTCCCGCGAGCTTCGGGCCACCCTCGCAGCTCGAAGCCAGGCGATATCACCATATGGGGAGAGAGAGCACTTGCTGCGCGGAGGGGCCCGGGAGCCGCCTCGGCGAGCCCGCCCCCTCCCCCCCCGCCCCCGCGGAGGCCACCTGGGCGCCTCGCGCGGCCAGTCGCCGCGGGCCAGGGGAGGGGCCCTGAGGCCACCACGCACCAACCATCCCGACCCAGCCCGAAGGCCCCGATTTGCCCTCCATTCCCGAGGGGCCCGGGGCGTCGGGAGAATCTATCTATATATATATATATATACACATACATATATACATACATACATACATACATACATACATACATACATACATACATACATACATACATACATACATACATACATACATGCATGCATACATATATATATATATACATACATACATACATACATATACATACATACATACATACATACATACATACATACATACATACATACATACATACATACATACATACATACATACACATACGTACATACATACATACATACATACATACATACATACATACATACACTGAAAACACGCCCAAACAAAAGCGCAGATGGAGCCCGTCCCCCCCCCCCCCCCCCGAAGTTCGGGTCTTCGGGTTGGGCTGGGGTGGTCTGGCAGACAGACATGGGTGGCGGGGCGCCGATTTTGTTCGCTGTCCTCGGGCTTTCGGGAGCCGTGGCCTGGCTTCGGGACCGTCCGCAGGTCAGGACTGCCCCGCGTCCTCTGAGGTCACGCAGGGTGGCATATCTGATTGCGGTCGGACCGAGGTAGAAGATCGAGGTCGCTTCGGGGAGGGCACCCCGAAGTTCTTCGTGTCTGTTGGATGTTCGCCGTCTTCCTCTTCTCCTCTCGATCATTGTGCTGCCCGTTCCTCCGCCAGAGCTGCCGGCACGGCCAGCGAGCCCTTTGTCGAGACATGCTCGGGGCCGAAGGGCCTTTGAGCAGGTGGCTTGTTGGACGCGTGGCTCGCACGGAGCGCCTCACGATCGCGTCTCGTGCATCCTGAGGGAGGGTACCCTCGAGTGATATATTTTGGGGTGCTTTGGCCGGCGGAGGGTCTCATGCTCTGGACCCGGAGAGACGTAAACGTGGGCTTTCTCCAGAGTGACATTGGGGCGGACACACTAAAAGGCCCTCAGATGGCCGGAAGCGCTGCGGTGGCAGCGGCCTGCGCGCTCCGATTCGGCCTCCCCGCGGCCCCCGAAGGCTGCGCGCCGAGGGTCACTAATTATTGCCTGCGGCTGCCCGTGCGTGCAACCGGTCGAATGATTGGGGAGGCGATGAATGGGGGGGCAGCGAGGGCTGCAGAGCAGGGGAAGAGGCCCTTTAGGGCCCATCAGGGGGCCTGCAGGGCCCGCGAAGTGAAGTATCGCCGAGCCCCCCGTGAGCCAGTCCCCCCTATGGTTCCCCCTTCTGGGAAGCTTAATTACCCATGGGCTAGCCCACGGGGTCGATGGCGATGTCGTTATCGCAACCGTCACCGGCATCGTCACCGACACCGTCACCGTCACCATAGTCTGCGATTTGCGAATCTTACCCCTGCTGGCTCAATCGGCGCTTGGGCATCGAACACCCCCGCTGGGGTTCACTTGGCTGCAGGCATCCTTCGAATCCTCAAATCCCGGCCGGTTTTCCAGAAGCAAATGATCTCCATGAGTAGGGTTCACATGTGAATGCCTACATACATCACCGTCATCGCCAGCGTCATCGTCATCGTCGTCATCGTCGTCGCCGGCGTCCTCAACGCCTCCTCCCCGCCATCCTGTTCCCGCCCCCTTTACAAGGCGGAAGATGACATTCGTCGCATCCGCAGAGGTCTCGTCGGCCCGCTGTCCTCCTCCTCCTCCTACTCCTACTCCTCCTCCTCCTCCTCCTCCTCCTCCTCCTCCTCCTCCTCCTCCTCCTCCTCCTCCTCCTCCCCTATCCTCCCTCCCTCCCCTCCTCCCCCCTCTCCCTCCCATCCCTCCTCCCCCCTCATCCTCCTCCCCCTTCCGTACTCCTCTGCCTCTCCCTTTCCTCCTCCTGCCCCCCCCCCTCCCCCCCCTCCTCCTCCTCCTCCTCCTCCTCCTCCTCCTCCTCCTCCTCCTCCTCCTCCTCCTCCTCCTCCTCCTCCTCCTTCCTTCCTCGGAAGTTCATACAGGCTGCGGGTCCTGCACGTGTCGGCCAAGGATCCCGTATCCTGTCTGGGGCTGGGCTCCCCGAGCACACTGGGTTGTATATCCGCAGACGGCAGAAAGGCGCGCCGCAGCGTCTTCTCGGTATCGTTGAACCGATCCCCATCCCCATCCCCTTCGCGACCCCCACCAAATTACCTCCCCAGTTGGGGATATGCCCCTCGAAACCCAAAGGGAACGGCCCATATCCCCATCTAGGGGGGGGGGGGGGGGAAGTCGGCCAGTGGGGCCCAGGCCACGCCGCTGGGGATGGGGATCGGTTAAGCGTTACTCATATTCGCAGACAGCCAAGTAGGCATCCTTCAGGCGATGCGCAGCTTAGACCTAGGGCTCATGGGACTTCTGGGCGCCAGATTGCCGAAAGGCCTGAGCCTCGCAGGAGTCCCTGGAGTGAGGACTGCTGCGGAGGGGGGACCTTCCTGTGCGAGCACGGCTGTAATGTGGGACGCAAGCAGATTTCCAAGCGTTGAACGTCTGAGACATGTGGGAGACTCGCGGAGATTGTGGGTGTCTATATATCGGTGAGCGTGGGACCGCCGTGTTTCGTCTGCACCGTTTTTATGTTCCGCGCCGCCTGCGAAACGTGGGAGTGACACGGAATGGCTCAGAGAGTTCAGCTCGCAGGTCTCGAGGACGATTTTCGCACCCTCGTCGGGGAGCCCTCCAGCTTAGCAGGAGTACCAGTCGTGGTCATTGGGAGACATCAATCTTCGGCCGCAAGAAGTCCAAGGGACAAGGGACCTTTGCCCAGCCAGGGCAAGAGCGTGGTCTTCATTCGTTCAGGACTGGTCCTTCTTCCATCTGAAGCCCCCTGTTGGGTCCCAGGAGCCAGAGGAGGTCCTCCTCCCTAGGCGTGGCCGGTCGGCCAGGGCACGCCCAGGAGACACCCACCACTGTCAAGGATGATCCCGCTGCGTCGACATCGCGCCGGCGTCGCCAGCAGCCCAGGGGACAGCCCAGGGACTACGCACTCGGGGACCACTCGGAGCTCCCCCTGGAAGCCCCCCCCCTCCCCCTGCGGCCCAGGGGCCGGGCACGATTCGATGCGCCTGCCGCCGCGGTGGCTCGAAGAGGCCTCGTGGACGCAGGGCGCGTCCGCGAAGCACGGCTGGCTCTCAGAGGCTCTTAGAGCCCGCCGTGGTCGAGTTGTGCCAAGGTGGCGCCGTCGTGGCCTGGGCGGAGCAGCTCGCCCCGGCGGCATCGTCCTGGGCAGCAGACGCGTCTGTATTGGTTTCCAACATGATACACTCGGGGCCCTGAAGAAGGAACCCTTCTCGGTGGGGAGGGGCTCCGTGTTCCTTGATTGCTCCACAGTGTGCCTTGGGTGTTCCTCTGGTCTTCGATCGGAAATCGAAGTTCAACTTGTGCATAGAAGGGGCCTCGTTCCTTATTTAAGGGTTCCTTGGGTCAACGCTCCGACTGTAATGGGCCTGGTCTTGGCCGGCTGGGTTGTGCGGGCTGCCGCCAGTACTTGCCAGGCCCCCTACCCCAGGCCGCATTCAGGCAGCCCTGCAGCAACAGGGCGCAGGGTCGGCGCGACTCACGGCGTGCATGCGGATCCTGTCCCCAATCTTGCTACCGATCGCGGCAGCTTGGCGGGGTGCGAATGGTGTCCTTCTCGGTCCTGATTGAATGCCAGGAGTGCCGCTTCCAAGACAAACGGAATGGCCAGGCCAGTGGGAAGCTCACTACCATGCTCAAATCCTGGGCCGCCTTCCCGGGCTGGAGGGGCCGCGCACGCTCGCGCCGCGGGCGGGGCCCCCGCGACGGAGCAGCCACGGAGACGGCGGCCACCGGGGCCATCGACACGCCAGGCACCACGGGGGCTACAACCCCGGACCTTCTGCCGAGAGTCGACCTCTTGCTCGAAGATGCCCGCCTTGGGCGCCTTCGTCCGGATCCTCCCGAGGCTCCATGGCGCCAGTTGCTTAGCGGCTCGCTCCGAAGATTGGCGGGGAGGTTGTGCTGTGCCCCTGCGCAGGGAAGGCCCCGTGGACAGAGGGGACTCCTTTCGTCTTATCGTGATTTACGTCCCAGATGTGCCTTCTCCAGGAGAACGGCCTGCTCTTCCGTGTCCGCCCAGACCTGCGGGATAGACTCACGCCGGGGCAAAGTGGGTACATCCGCGACGTGGGCGACGCTCAGCTCTTACTCCACGAACTGGCGGCGGAGGCCGCCTTCACAGGGAGACTCCCGTGGGCAATGTCCAGAGAGCTCCAGAAAGCATTCCCGCGGATTTGGCGGGAGTCGCTCCTGGTCGGGCTCAGGGACGCCGTGGGTTTATCAGACGGTGTCTTTTAACTGCTTGCTAGCATGTTGGAGTCAGACCGAGCCCACGCGAACTACGGCGGTGTTCAAACAGCAATCCTCACCCAAGGGATTGCAGAAGAGGGGCTAGCGGACCCTCGATTTTCCTGCGCACATGAACACTGTACTCTTCCAAGGGTGTGGATTCTGCATTGGCGCCCGCTGTCCACGGGCTTGGGCACAGCATCGATGGCGCGGCACTGGGGAGCCAATGCGAAGCGCACGTCTGAGTTGCAACGTTCCCTGCAGGATAACTTGCCGCTCCCTGCCGCCAGGGACCTCGCTGCCGACGCGAGTCTGGAGGCGTCCGCCCTCGCGGCCACGGGCGCCTCAGCCCCGCGGCGCTTGGCGACTGTTCTCCACGCAGACGACCCCGCGCCACTCGCATCGTCCCGATGGGGCCGCGCAGAGGTCGCAGGCCGCGCTTGCGGATTGGGCCTTTCGCCAAGAAGGGCCTCGCCTCGCACGACCATCAAGCGTACCGGCAGGGTCCACGGCGGGGCGCTGGCGAGAGCGACAGGCGGAGCTGCGCCGCCCCTTGCCCTTCCTTTTGCGGGGGAATCAGCCGGTCCAGCTCCACGCGCCAGGGCCCCGCAAGCGGTCGGGGCCACAATGGCAGGGCGAGCTGCGCTCGGAGCGTCTGCTGGCTGCCCGCTCGGGCGCAGCATCTGCCCAGTGTGCTGCTTTAGCAGGCCAGGTCTCCGGCGGGCTCCTCCCGCTGGCCGCGGCGGCGGGGATTCTCGAGGAGATCGACTCCTTCCTCCACTTCGGCAGGCGGCTGTTTGCCATGGCGGACGGGGCAGCTCTCGAGCTGGACGAAGCCTACTCGCCTTCCTCGACAGCCCCCCCTGGAAACCTGCCGCTCCGGCGGCGGCGGAACTAGGATGGGCCCTCACAGGCTCGGGTCGTGCGTTGCTCGACGTTGCCTCCCGACGCGCAGGTCCTTGGAGGCTTCCAGACTCGGAATCATACAGAAGTGTCTTCATCCGTGCCCGTCTGGTGCCTGGAAGGATTTGGTCGCGCGCCCCCTTGCAGCAGCTCGAATCTTGGGGCCTGCCGACCTGGCCAGCCCGGGAAGGCGCTTTCCCCGGGTCCAGCCTGGAAGCGTACAAAGCCAGAGTCAGGGAGCTAGTGGAGGAACGGCGCCGCGGGCTCCTCAACCAGGAGCTTGCCCAACACGCGCGGCTGCTACCTTACATGTCCTTGGGTGGAGGGTCCGGCAGGATCTACGCCGCGCCCTGTCGTCAGGCCAGAGCTGGGCAGAGCTCTGGGGCCAGCGACCACTCGCCCGATCGCGCCTTCGCCTTGTCCGCCTCGCACACATCGGTGGGGCGCGTTCCCGGGCTCGTCGCCAGCGCTGCATCTGCTGCGGGGCCTCACACACAACCCCACTTTCCACGCACTTGCAGCCTGCGAGCGGGCGGAGGCCACGCGGCAGGCCTACTGGCGCGCTGGCCAAGCAGACGCTCCACCTCAGCAGGAGGCCAGCACAAGGGCAATACTGAGCTCGCGACCGGGGGGGGCCGGCTACGCAGCGGCGGCCGCGCTGGCACGCTTCCTAGAGAAGCAGGAGGCGCTATTCTGGGCCAGGCCACCAGGAACCGAGTCGTACAAATCTCTGCTCCTCCTGGGGTGATCCCCTCGCCCTCCGTTTCCTCTGTCCCGCAATTGCGTCCTGCGCTGACACGAGGCGGCCGGGAGCACGGGCGGGGGCCCCCGTGGGAGGGAGTCGCCGGTAGGCCCCGCTCCCCGGGCCTTCCCCTCTTCTCCATCGCGTTCGCTTCCAGGGCCAAGGAGCGGCCCCTCCTCCGTGGACCTAGGAGAAGCGCGGGGCCAGGCTCAGTCGGGCGTTCCTCGGTCTGCCCCCTGTCCTCCCCCTCGACGTCCTGTAGCCCCGCAGGCGGTGCCTTGCCTTCCCCTGAACGGGCGCTGCGGGGTCGCGGCAGTCGCCGTCCTTCGGCCACCCTCTGCTAGAGGGGCCGCGCTCGCGCCCCCACAACACCGCCCCGCTGGGAGGACACCAACCAACCAACCAACCTTTCTCCCTCCCCTCCTTCCTCCTCCCCTTTCCGCCTCCCTTTTCCTCCTCGTCCTCCTCCTTTTCTTCCTCCTCCTCCTCCTCCTCCTCCTCCTCCTCCTCCTCTTCCTCCTCCTCCTCCTCCTCCTCCTCCTCCTCCTCCTCCTCCTCCTCCTCCTCCTCTCCTCCTCTCTTTTCCCTCCTCCTCCTCCTCCTCCTCCTCCTCCTCCCTTCCTGGAGCCCTCGACCCACGATCCCACCCCTTCTGGGCGCGGCAGGACCTGCCGCCCAAAACGCAGCAGCAGTTGCTGCGCGCAGCCAGAGACCTGGAGGCCAAAAGGGCCGCGGCCGCCGCCACCGCGCCCGCCGGCGCATCGGCGGCAGCGGGCGGGGAGCTGTGAGGCCACTCCCCCTCCTCCTCCTCCTCCTCCTCCTCCTCCTCCTCCTTCTCCTTCTCCTTCCCCTCCTTTTCCTCCTCCTTCTCCTATTCGCCTTCTCCTTCTCCTCTCCTCCTCCTCCTCCTCCTCCTCCCTCCTCCTCCTCCTCTCCTCCTTCCTCTCCTCCTCCACCTCTTCCTGTTCCTGCTTCTCCTCATGCTGCTCCTCCTCCTCATCAGCCTCGTTCCTCCCCCTTCCCCTCCTCCTCCTCCTCCTCCTCCTCCTCCTCCTCCTCCTCCTCGTCCTCCTCCTCCTCCTCCTTCTCCATTCCTTTTCTTTATACATACTTTTACCTGTCGCAGCCCGAAACTACTTCGTATTGCCCTTAATATAAACAGTTGGCAACAGTTTCACATATGGAAAGCAGGTCGTTTTCAAAGCAAGGTTCTCGCCTTAGCGCCGCGCACATTCGTTTTGAAACATGTGCAAAAGCTTCACGGATTGAGGACGGCCCGTTTTAAAAATGTGGTTCTCGCGTGAGCGCCGTGTATATTTTTTAAACATTTGCAAGAATTTCACGGATTGAAGGCAGGCCGTTTTCAACATGCGGTTGCCGCTTTAGCGCCGCGTACATTCGTTTGAAACATTTGCAAGAGCTTCACGGATTGAGGGTGGTTCCTTTTCAAAACGTGGTTCTCGCTTCAGCGCCGCGCACATTCGTTTTTACAAATTGCAGGGGGTTTCACGGGCTCCCATGATCAGCGCACCAGACAAGGCGTTTTGGGAGGGTTCTTGATTATGAGGGCGCAGCAGTTACATTGATTCGCGGTGTTGCAGTCACAGGAATGGCGTTCTGGCACGATTCTGGATCGTCAAGACGCAGTCAGTTTGATCCGTGGCGTTGGAATCCCGAGAACAATGTTTTGGCATGTTTCAGGGTCTTCACACGGTTGTCTTCGAACGAGGCAGGTCCCTCAGTGGTCAGTGGCAATGAACTGTTGTAGGGGCCTATGAAAATGGAGCTTGGAGGGAGGGTTTAACATCCAACATCGTTTATGAATATTGGGTTTCCACTGTTCCCCTTCCTCCTCCTGCTTGTCCTTCTTCTTCTACACCTCCTCCTGTTCTTCTTCCTCCTCCTCCTCATCCTGCTCCCCGTCATCCTCCTCCTGCTTTCGCTCCTGCTTCTGATCCTGATCCTGTTCCTCCTCTTCCTCCTCCTGCTCCGTCTCCTCCTCGTCATAATCATCATCATCATCAGCATCATCAACATCATGCTAGCAAGCCGATTTCCCCCCCCCCCCGCAGGCCTCTTTCTCCTACCTCGACCTCGCTCCCTCCTAATACTCGAGTGCCAACGCACGCGTCTGGCTTCAAGGGCCAGGTGGTAGGAGGAGCGCCCAGTGTCCGCCTTCCCTCGAGTGCAGATTTGAGGTGCGGTAAACGCGCGAAGATTTCTGCCGCTTCGAAGGGCCTTGCTAAAAATCCTGGCCCCGAGGAGCCCACGATGCCAGTAGTGAACAGGCGTGGCAATTCGGCCACGCAGGGGTTTTCCGCACAGTGGAGCAGCCACGACACGTCTGCTGCACTGCGTTTGATACAGGGGGGCACCGCGGCAATAGTAGGGTTATTCCTTGTTGTGAGCCGCGAGGTGCAAGGTCGCGCATCGCAAACTGACGCTCGGGCGCAGCCCGGTCCTAGGGGCAGCAGCTGGTCGGGATTTCACGCTCGCCCCCCATGGGTTCTGATCTGGTCATCAGCATCAGCATCAGCATCGCCATCAGCATCAGCATTAGCATCAGCATCATCAGCAACGTCCTCCTCCCCCTCCTCCTCTTCCTCCTCCTCTTCGGTATCGTTGTCATCAGCAGCATCAGCATAATCATCAGTCTCAGCAGCAGCAGTGTAATCAGCATCATCAGCAGCATCAGCAGCATCACCAGCATCAGCAACAGCTGCATCAGCAGCATACCCATCATCACCAGCAGCAACATCATCATCAATATCAGCACCATCATCATCATCATCATCATCGTCAGCAGCATCATCAGCATCGTCATCGCCGTCGTCAGCATAAGTAGCATCATCGTCGTCGTCATCGGTATCGTCATCAGCATCAGCATCATCATAATCATCAGCATCACCATCATAAGCATGCGCGTCATCATCAGCAGCAGCAACATCACCATATTGCTGCTCCTCATCCTCCCTCTCATTCTCCTTCTCCTTTTCCTCCTCCTCCTCCTCCTCCTCCTCCTCCTTTTCCTCCTGTTCGGAGTTGGCTCATGATGAGCAGGCTGATCCTGGGGTTGCTTTCGGAGTTTTAAGTGCTGCCTGGGGCCATTTTGCCAAAAGAACTGCCAGGTACGTAGCTGAGTGCACGGGCACAGATGCTACGAACGTTGCAGGCTTCGGTAGAGATATCGCTCCGAGGTGGGTAAGCGTTGACTACCCCGTCCCCAACATATCGGAGAAGGTTCTGCTTGCTGAGGGGTGGTCGTGGTTGCGCAATGCTGTGCAGACCCTTTTTCCAGATGTCGTCTCACGACGAGGATGTCGAGCAGCAGGTCCTGTATGCTAATGAGGTTGCCACCTTTGCTGCTGACGACTATCCAGGATTTGGTCTCAGTGCTAGGCTAGATAACTCCTGTAAGCATGCACGTGAGTTGTTTGATGATGGGCATCTTGATAAGGATGCTGTTCTAGAGTTTCTCGAGCAGATTACGGAAGATGTTGAAGCTGCCCAGAGAGCTGCGAATCGCGAAGCTGATGCCGATTGGAATGATTGGTGTGAGACTGCGTCATTAGGGGGAGCCAGGGGCCTACATAGGATCACCAAGGTTCGGAGTGTGTGTCCCCCCACGGTCGCCCATGATCCTTTAGGCCCCACGGCTGACCCCCATAGCGTTGTGCAGCATGAAGCTCGTGTGTATCAGGCGCTCTGGAAAGCTGGAGCGATTCCCCCTCAGGCATGGATACCTGATAGAGAGTCTTTTCCAGTCGCGAGCGTTGAGGACATACGTAAAGTGATTCGGTCATTTCCTGAGGGCACGGCAAGATATCTCGATCAACTGCACCCTCGTCATTTTCAGCTGCTAGATGATAGCGGCCTCATGGTTCTTGCTAAACTTTGGCAGTGCTGCGAAGCGATAGGTCTCCTGCCTCGACAATTGCTCTGGGTTTTAATGCCAATGCTGCCGAAACCGACAAGCGGTTATAGGCTAATCGTACTTTACTCTGGCATGTATCGCATTTGGCAAAGGCTCCGCCGCCCCATGCTCAAGGATGTGTTGGATTCTTTGGACCGTGGGTACTGGGGGGCTACTCGGGGGAGGAGTGCTGTGGATTGTGCATGGGTGTTAGCGGCCAGGAGCGAAGCCGATGTTGTCAACCATCGCTTTTCGGTTCTAATCTCATTCAGTTGCGTGATAAATGCATAGCGTTCCGAGTGCCGTCTCCCGTGCTAAAGTTAATGTTTAATGTTTGGCAAGCCCCAAGAATATTGAGGCTTCGCCAGCATCACTCGCTTGATTGCATGCATGCACAGTTCGGTCTTCCAGCAGGCGATTGCTTCAATGACTTGTGCATAAAAATACACGCAGTTCGTGAATTTGACTGGTTTGTTTCACGTCAGCCATCGCTCGTAAGTTTCATGTCGTACATTGATGATTCAGGCATCCAGATCTCTGCTGCAGACCGGCAGCGAGCCCTGGATCTAGCGGTGGCGGCGGGAAAAGATTTCCAGATTGCCAGTCGTAATATTGGTGCCACTCTGAATGATAAGATTGCTGTAGTTGCGTCATCGGAGGACTTGGCTAAAGATGTAGCAGCAAGTCTCCAGATGCAACGCAAGGTAGTCAAGAAGGCAGTCACATATCTTGGAGTCGATTCGACCGCCGGTTTGCGACGTGCTGCGAAGGGCACAAGACCCAAACTTAGGAGTTGGTTGAAGGCTATGCAAAAGCGTGCTAAAAAGATCAGTAAGTTTCGCAAGTTTATAAAGCGCAAGCCAAAACAAGTCCTCCAAGGGGTCCTGCGTACTGGCCTGGCTCCTGCGTCGTCGTGCGGCTCTGAGGTCTCGGGGTTCTCGGATGCTGAATTGGCGTCAATACGCAGAACCCAGTCGAGGCGACAGGCGCCCATGCACGGTGGCACTTCAGCTAGTGCTAAACTGGTCCTCTTTGGAGAGTGGGGCGTCCGTGCTGCTTTGGGCCCCGTCTTGCAATGGAGTAGGATGGTTTGGATCTCCAAGGTAGCGCCCGAGAGAGCCCTTTTAAGTTTCCTTGCCCTCGTTTCCTTGTGGCAACAGGCTAATGCGAGCAGCGTCGTTGACTGGGAGAATAGTCGAGGCCCGCTCAGTAGAGTTGTCTTGTGTCTCAAGAGGGCAGGTTGGTCGGCTCCCGAGGCTTGTGCTTGGATTGATCACCATCAGAATCCCATCGATATCAGTTTAGTGTCACCGCGAGTGCTGCAGGAGTTGCTTGAAGCAGGCCTCCAGAGGCAGGCTGAGCTGGCCTTGGGCCAAAAACTAGGTTTTCCTCTTGGTTTTCGGGCCACTCTGGACCTGGTCAGGGACAAGATGGTTCCTCGTGTGAAAAGTTTCACTCGGCAGCAGCAGTTTTTGTTAAAGTGTGCAGCGTGTGATGCCAATTGGACTGAGAAGAGGGCCCAAGATGCGGGGTATCTTAGTTGTGGTCGTTGTGAGTGTGGGCAGGTAGATACCCCGCATCATCGCATCTACACGTGTACCAGGCCAGATGTGCTGGCTGCCCGTGAGATTGCCTGTGAAGATGTCCCCGATGAGTCGTTGCAGGTTGCCCTTCAGACGGACGATTGTCTGCGCACTCGAGGCATCTTTGTCTATGATGACTCCCAGCTCGTTCCTCCCTCCCTCAGCTCGTCCTGTGAGGTTTTCGATGGGCAGGGTAACGAGCTCGACCGTCAGCCCGAGGAATTGGCTGCCCTCGTTCCGCCAGGACAGCCGCTTGAGCTCGCGGCCGACGGCTCGGCCACCAAGCAGATGC